GGGGGTCAAGCCCCCAGCCCACGGACACGTCACCTGACCAGACAGGAGAGGCTGACATCTCAAGAAGGATGAGTGGCAACTGGCCAACGTAAGAGGACAAGAGGTGATGCGAGAAGGGTGTTTCAGCAGCAGAACAGCAAGTGCTAAGGCCCTGAGGTGCAGAAGAGGTGGCTAAGTTCTGGGAAATGAAACTAGATCAGAGTGCCCAGAAGAGAGAGATGGGAGGTGGGGAGACAGAGCGGGAAGGGCAGGGAAGGGTGGGGAAGAGGTCACTGACCCATGGGCGCACTAGGTGTGGGAGTTCTATCATGAGAGGAGAGGAGGGGTACCAGGAGCCCGAGGCCAGTGGGAGGCTGGGGCGGCGTCCAGGTTGGAGCCAGGTTTGGGGGCCGAACCGCACCGCGGTGTTGGGACCCAGCAGAGGAGCTCAGCTAAGGGTCTGCACGGGGGAGGTTCTGGAGTCCAGCTCCGTGAGGGCCAGGCACTTTGGGGAGGAGATGGAGCAGGCCAGAGAGCCCAAGTGCTACCCTCGAGGCCCAAATATCTGCAGGAAGTGGGGTGCAGGAGCCAGGGTCCAGCCCTCCCTATCCCCCCTGTCTGGTCAGGTGGATACCCCACTGGGAGGGCACCCCTTCACACCACCTAGTCACAGCAAGAGGGAAGAATAAAGGCACGGGCCGGGTGCTGGGGCACGTGGGCCTTTGGGGGCCCCCCGGCCTGTGGTGGGCACCTGGCTTTCCCACAGAAGTCTGAGTCAGCATCGTGGCGGCTGCCTAGAGGCTCCGGCCTTCCCCCGCCCCCTCCCCGCCACCCCGGCCACTTGGGAGAGTCATTTCATTTCTCAAATTAAAAATCCATTTTGTGCTGTGAATAATAGATGGGATGAGCACTGGGAGGCTGGGCAAAGGACAGGAAGCTGGTCGGGGGGTGTTTTCCAGGACACAGAAGATACTGCAGAACAGTCTGTGGTGGGAAGGGGAGCTGGCTGGGCAGAGTGGAGGTTGGGGGGCATCTCCCAGAGCAGAGGCGGGACTGGGGGCTTCAGCTCTTGTGGGGCTCCTAGGCCTGTGTGCTGGGGTGACAGGCAAGTGGGGGCCCAGTCTATCCCCTTTTGTGCAGGCCAGAGGGGTGCAAAACCAGTTCTGATTGCAGCTGGGGCTCCAGGCTGACCCAGGCCTGGCTTCAGGTTGGGGACCCCCCCTTTGGAAGGAAGCATTTCGTGTCGTGCTTGGTAAAAGCTCAGCAGACACGCCATTGGTGTGAGACCTGTTGTTCCCAGAGAGGGGGGCTGCTCTTTGCCCCTTCCCCAGCACCCAGACCTGGTGACCCCCTACCCAGGAGGGACAGGCTGGGATCTGGCCTGTGGTCAGGGAAGAGGCTGATTTGAGGGTTTTGGGGGTTGAACCACACCCCTCACCTTGCCCCTTGTGCCCCCTCAGGCCTTCTCTCTCCAAGGCAGCTCTGGTGGATGCTCCCCAAACTCCTGCGTCCCCCATCCCCAGTTGCCTGGCTCAGGGCTTGACTGGGTGCTGCTGAGTCCTGTCGTCCTCCTGTTCCTGAGTTAGGGGGTCACCTTGACAACTGGGGGTGGGGAGGAGGAGCGCTGGAACTGGATGCCTCCAAGAGCGCATGTGGGGGAGCTGGAGGCCAGACCCCGGCGTCCTCCCCACCTGGGCTCAGCTTTTCTTTCTGAGAAGGAAGGAGCAAAGGACCTGGTCGCTCTCTAAAGGCGGACTGTCTAGGGGGTGCAGGACTGGGTGCTCATGGGCCCAATCCCCGGGCTACTCTGGTGGGCCCTGGTTACCGGGCTCAGGACTGGGCTGTCCTGGGAGTCCCTGGGGCCGGCGGGGGCGGGGGGGGGGGGGGGTGTGTGTGTGAGCTGCTGCACAGAGCTGGCGGGATGGAGCGAGGCAGGCAGCTAGGGCGGCCAGGCTGAGAGTTGGGGGGGAGACAGGAGAACAGATCAATGGCAGCTGGGAGCCCCGGAGAGGGATGGCCCGGAGGGTTCCTGCAGCTGACCCCGGAGGGAGGAGGGGCTGAGGGCTTGGGTCCCCCACCCCCTAGTGGCTGGAACAGCAGGGTCCCCAGGGAAGCCGGTTTGCCTTTGTGCCTTTCTGTCGGAAGAGAGTCGGCTCCCTGAGACAATATCCATTTTTATATTTCTTGGAAATTTCACGGCATTCATTTCAGGGAAAATAAAAGCTGTCATTGCTGGAGAAATGATACCAATCAGGGCCTGAAAAGGCTGGAAAATTATCCTCCTGGAGACGGAACGTTGAGGGGAAAAAATGCAGATTAAAAGCACAAAGAGCCACTTTGCCACCGCCCTGCCCTCCCCTCCTCCCTTACGGAATCACCACATTTTACATAATTCCACCTCTCCTTGGTGGAATTAATTGGACCCAAGAAGAACGCGTGGGGCCGGGGAGGACCTGAAATGGCTGGAGGTGGAGGCAGAGAGTCTCCAGAGCAGTGGCATCGAGATGGACAGAGGGACAGACACAGGAGATGCAGGATGGGGGCAGATGTGGCCACTCGAGCCAGGCTGCTGAAGAGCCCCAGGGAGCGGACGCGGTGATGGGTCCTTTGAACCCCTGCCTGGTTGTGGTTTTTACCAGCGGGGGCTCCATGGCAGTCTTGGGCTGTCTCATCGGTTAGGCCTGTCCCCCACACATGGAACTGGCAGGCCTGGGAGCACTGGTGCCTTGTGGCGTACCCTGCTAGGGACACAGGAAGCCGAGAGGGTGGGAAGGACAAGACCAAGAGAGCAGAGACTCCAGAAACAGTAGCACTGGTCCAAGAAGCCCCGAAGTCCCTGTGCCCCACATGGCCCAGCCCTGCAGGTACAGGGGGGTGAGCCAGGGAGAAGTGCGCCCTGCCTCAGCCGCTGGGGGCTGGGGAGGGGGAGGTCGCATACGGAAAGAGCAAGTTGTCTGGTTAGAAGGTAGCCAGGGAATAAATTCAGAGGCGCCCCCACCCTGACCCCTGCACCGGTCCTATTCGGGGGCCCTGAGGCCTGCACTCTGAGGACCAGGGCTGCAGGGCAGGCAGGCAGGCACCCTCCGTCCCTCCCGGTCCCCAGCGGGGAGGGGCTCTTGCATTATTCCTTAGTCCTTTTTTTTTCTCTCCCTGATCAGGGGCTTCCGGAGCAGGGGGCGCGGAGGCCAACCAAGGTTTGGGGGTGGGGTGCAGTCTCAGCCCCGTGCCCCTTCCTGCAGTGGCCTCCGAAGCTCTCCCTCCCCCGAGGTGAAGGCCAGCCTTCACCAAATTCCCAGACGCCCTCGGGAGGGCTGGCCAAGGGCAGGGGCTAGAGGGGAGGCCCCGACGCCCGTTTACTGAAGGCTGCTCTGCCAGGCGCGAGCGGCGAGCGTCCGCGCTGTGTGAGCGCACCCCACGGCCTTGGGGGGGCCGTCCCCGGGCGGCGCTCCGGTCCTGTGGGCTCGGCTGGGACAATCCACGAGGCTCCGAGGCTCGGCTCGAGCCCTTTGCAGATGGGCTGGTCGGCGGCGCCTAGTGGGGGCATCAGATCAGAGGGGAACCCTTTCCCGGGAATAGCGGGCGCCCCGCTCTTCCCGGGACGCGGCTGCATCTGGGATCCCCGATCCCGGAGCCCGTGCCAGCCCCTCGGGAGCGGGTCCCGCCGCCGCCGTCTCCGCCCCCGAGCTGCCAGGTAGCCGGGATGAAGGGTGGAAGGAGGAGGGGGCGCGGGGGGCGGGCGGAGGAGGGTGGAGCCGCCGGCGCGCCCCCTCCCTCGGGGCCAGCGGGCGGCGCGGCAGCAGAGGCGGCGGCGGGCGCACGGAGAGCTGCTGCCCGCCCGGCTCCGCTCCGCTCCGCTCCGGCCCGGGCTCGGCCCGCTCCGTTCCCGCTCGGTTCCCGCTCGGCCCGGGCGCGCACCTGCCGGGTAAGTGGCATCCGAGGCCGCCGCCGCCACCATCGCAGCCACATCCGCCGCCCCCGCCGCCGCCGCCGCCGCGCCGAGCCTCCGGGCTTTGTCTGCGTCCTCGCAGCACCGGCTCCGGCTGCGGCTGCGACTCCCGGGCTCGGCTTTCCGGCTCCGCGGGCTGCGCGGCGAGGCGCCCGAGGCTCCCGAGGCGCCTGAGGCTCCCGAGGCTCCGAGCCCGGACCTTGGGGCGCGCGGGGCCGGCTCGCTCCGCGCCGGGGGTGAAACTTCGCCCAAGTTTGGGTTCTGGGGAAAACCTGTTGAAGCCGGGAGCGGCCCTGGGCGGGGGCGGAGGGGCGGGGGACGGAACCGGTTCCCGGTTTTCAGGGCCGTCGGGGGCTTGTCCACGGCCCGGGGTCGGTCGGAGCGCGCCGCTTGCGGACGGGGCTGGTGGGCATCCTGGCCCTTGAATAGAGGACGGCGCTGGGGGTGGCCCTACGGACATCCGCAAGGACAAAGTTTGGTTCTTTAGCCGCTTTACCTAGCGTCTGGTTCCTGCGCGGCTCCTGGGCCGGCGTAGACTCGCCCTTGGCCGCGCCTCCCTCCCCAGCCTCCGCTTCCCCCTCCCCCACCCGGCCCTGGCTGTAGCGGGTCGCAGACCAGCAAGGCCGTGGGAGGGGAGGCCGGCCTCCGCCGAGGGCCTCCTACGCGCCGGCCGTGCCCCGCGCCCCTCCCGCGTCGCAGCGGCCTCCCGGGTGGCACCCGGGCGCGGGGCGGCAGGAGGCAGGTCGGGGGACGCCGCGGCGCGTGCGGGAGCTGGTGGCCACCCGGGGCCTCCCGCTTGCCCCACCCTCGGGCGCCCACGGGGGCCGGGCCCCAGGCCCTCTCCGGTAGGAGCCGCGGCGCGGCCTCCGGCCTCTGGACCCAGGCCTGCGCCCCTCCGCGTGGTGCCCGTGAGCCCCGTCGGGCCCGCGCCTCTCTGACCCCGCGCCGCCCTCCCCGCAGCCGCGGCCCGGGAGCCATGCGGAGGCCCTCCGGGAGGCCGGCGGCGCGGCGCGGCGCGGCCCGTAGCTGAGATCGCCGAGGGCTGCGCGGCGGCGGCGGCGGCGGCGGCCGCAGCATGGAGACCCCGTACTCGATGACGGCGCACTACGACGAGTTCCAGGAGGTCAAATACGCGAGCCGGTGCGGCGCGGGGGGCGCGCGCGGGGCCTCGCTGCCGCCCGGCTTCCCGCGGGGCGCGGGGCGCGGCGCCTCCGGGGCCCGGGCGGGGCTGCCGCGCTGGAACCGGCGCGAGGTGTGCCTGCTGTCGGGGCTGGTGTTCGCCGCCGGCCTCTGCGCCATCCTGGCCGCGATGCTGGCGCTCAAGTACCTGGGCCCGGGCTCGGCGGGCGGCGGCGGCTGCTCCGAGGGCTGCCCCGAGCGCAAGGCCTTCGCGCGCGCCGCCCGCTTCCTGGCCGCCAACCTGGACGCCAGCATAGACCCGTGCCAGGACTTCTACTCCTTCGCGTGCGGCGGCTGGCTGCGGCGCCACGCCATCCCCGACGACAAGCTCACCTACGGCACCATCGCGGCCATCGGGGAGCAGAACGAGGAGCGGCTGCGGCGCCTGCTGGCGCGGCCCGGGGGCGGGCCCGGCGGGGCGGCCCAGCGCAAGGTGCGCGCCTTCTTCCGCTCGTGCCTCGACATGCGCGAGATCGAGCGGCTCGGCCCGCGGCCCATGCTCGAAGTCATCGAGGACTGCGGGGGCTGGGACCTGGGCGGCGGCGGCGGCGGCGAGCGCCCGGGGCCCGCGGCGCGCTGGGACCTCAACCGGCTGCTCTACAAGGCCCAGGGCGTGTACAGCGCCGCCGCGCTCTTCTCGCTCACCGTCAGCCTGGACGACAGGAACTCCTCGCGCTACGTCATCCGCGTGAGTGCGTCCCCTCCGCGGTGACCCCGGGGGCCCGGACCGGGAAGGAGGCGCGCCACGGCCTGGCACGCGCACCCCGCGCTGGGCCACCGTGCACCGGGCGGGGAGGGGGAGCGCGCACCCCCGTGCATTGGGGTGGGGGAGGGGGGAAGCAGGTCCCCCCGCGCTGGGCCACCGTGCACGGGGCGGGGAGGGGGGGCGCGCACCCCCGTGCATCGGGGTGGGGAAGGGGGAAGCAGGCCCCCCGCGCTGGGCCCCCGTGCATCGGGGTGGAGAGGGGGAGCGCGCACCCCGCGCTGGGCCACCGTGCGTCGGGGCGGGCGGGGAGGGGGGAGCGCGCACCGGCATCGCGCGGGAGGAGGCCGCAAGTAATTTCCCTCGAGTAATTGCGGTGTTTAGTGGAGCCGCGGGAGCCGCAATTTCCCCAGCAATTTCCCCATCGGGCGGCCGCGAGAGGGGTGTGCCAATGGGCTGGGGCGGGCCAGCGTGCCAGTGGCCCCAGCGCTCCGCGTGGCCCTCTCGAGTGCCCTTCATAGGTGGGGATGGTGCAGGCTTCCGGGAGGAAGGATGGGGGCACGGGCTCCCCGCCGCCTCCCAGTGTCCCCGCCGGCTAGGCTAGGCCGGTGAAGCCCGGGAGCGGCCGGGGTTTCTAACAGCTTCTCTGGATGGAGGCAGGGGTAGTGTATTTGTGCTCCTGCGGCTTGTGACAGTGGACATCTGGCACATCCCCTGGTTGGCCATTTGGACAGAACTTCAGTCTGTTTGCAGGAACCTGGCATGGTGACCTCTGATCGCTGACCTCTGACCTCCTCCTTCTCCCCAGATTGACCAGGATGGGCTCACTCTGCCGGAGAGGACCCTGTACTTAGCTCAGGATGAGGAGAGTGAGAAGGTATGGGGGCATGGGCTGGGATTGCAGGGAAGGCCTGGGGCTCCAGGAGAGAGGGACTAGGGCCTGACACTGACCCCACCCGTGAAATGTCCCCTCTGGGTGCAGATCCTGGCAGCGTACCGGGTGTTCATGGAGCGCCTGCTCAGCCTCCTGGGAGCCGAAGCCGTGGAGCAGAAGGCGCAGGAGATCCTGCAGCTGGAGCAGCGGCTGGCCAACGTGAGCAAGGGCACAGCCATGGGCTTGGGGGAGGGGAATAGGCAGGGGGGGTCAACTCTCATCTCCACCCCCAGATCACAGTGTCAGAGTACGATGACCTCCGGCGAGATGTCAGCTCCATGTACAACAAGGTGACGCTGGGGCAGTTGCAGAAGATCACCCCCCATGTGAGTGCAGACCACCGTGATGGGGGGTACGGATCTTGGGGCTCCCGGCCTGTCCCTTCCTCAGGGCCGGGCGAGGCCTTCCATGGCCATGGATTCCTGTGTCCTCCTGTGTCTCTCTCGGACTCCCTTCTGTTCTCTGTGGTCCCTGCTACACCCAGTCCTACTGTCCTCTACCCACGACAGCTGCAGTGGAAGTGGCTGCTGGACCAGATCTTCCAGGAGGACTTCTCAGAGGATGAGGAGGTGGTGCTGTTGGCCACAGACTACATGCAGCAGGTGTCCCAGCTCATCCGCTCCACACCCCGCAGGTACAGTGGCCAATCACCCACCCCTGCACACCCGCACCTCGGGGCCCCTCCCCTGCACCCTCTACTTGTTTGCTTGGTGAGCTTTGAATTCCCGTTTTCACTTCTGTCCTGTGGCCACACTGGGGAGGCATGTGAAGAGCACTGGAATAGGAGTCCAGATTCCTAGATTCAGACTGGGCTCTCACCTGCTGCCTGGGCCCCTGGGCAGGGCTTGTGAGCTTCCTGAGGTGCAGTTTGCTCATCTGGGGATAGTGAGGCTGAGTGAGTCCAGACTTTAGAGGGGCCACCTAGGGAAGAACTTCCCTGATCTCTGCCCACCTTGGGGAGGAGCAGAGCACCTCTCAAGGCCAGGCCTGGGGCAGATAGTCACCTGGAGTGCCCATTGTCCTACCCTGTCTCAAGTCAGCACTGGCACTCTGCTAGGTGGCCAGAGGTGTGTCCTACTACGTGTGGGCCCAGCCTTTTTCCCTGCCCGGGGCTCAGGCCACTCTGACTTCCGCCTCCATGTACCCAAATGATCCTCACTCCTTTGTGGGTGCTAGGTCTAATCCCAGCCTGGAGGGTCTGGAGTGGATGGGGTGGTGCTCATAGCACACGAGCTTGTCTGGACACCCAGCTGTCTCACCTGGCCCTCAGGATCCTGCACAACTACCTGGTGTGGCGTGTAGTGGTGGTCCTGAGTGAGCACCTGTCACCGCCATTCCGAGAGGCACTGCACGAGCTGGCCCGTGAAATGGAGGGCAGTGACAAGCCACAGGAGCTGGCCCGTGTCTGCCTGGGCCAGGCCAACCGCCACTTTGGCATGGCACTTGGAGCTCTCTTTGTACATGAGCACTTCTCAGCTGCCAGCAAGGCCAAGGTCAGGCTGCCCTGGGCTTGGGGGTTGGGTGCGGGTGCTGGGCTGGGCATAGAGTCCTCCCATGGCCTTGATCTGAGAATGGGGAGTCCCACAGATCCCCTTGCAGACAGGGGCTCAGCCCTCTCTGAGTCTCCAGACTACTTCTCACCAGGGAACCTCCCCCAGGAAGCCTACCTGGTCTATCAGCCCCAGGAGGGCTTCCCCCTCAGGCTCCTGCCCCCCTTCTCCGCCATGCTCAGTAGGTGCGGCCTTAGGGGAATGTATGTGATCATTGCTGGAGCAGTTTGCTTTCAGACTATGAGCTTCTGGTTGGGGGTGCAGGGCCTGGATCCCCACCTGGGAGGGCTCCCCTCAGTGTTCAGCACCGACCCTTAGGACGAGGAAGTGATACTGAATTAGTGGTACCTCTCCTCAAGGGTCAACCCTGTGATCCCTGGCTCTTGATCCTGCAGGTACAGCAGCTTGTGGAAGACATCAAGTTCATCTTGGGCCGGCGCCTGGAGGAGCTGGACTGGATGGATGCCGAGACCAAGGCAGCTGCTCGGGCCAAGGTGAAGTGGATCCTGTCCCCGTTCGTAGGTTCCACAAACACTGAATGCCTACTGTGTGCCAGGCTGGGGTAGCAGAAGAGGCAAAGATGCCCCTTGTGGAGTTGTCATCACCTGGGCTGGTCCCCCCTGTCCTAGAGCCCACTTCTAGGCCTAGAGCTTTCTCCCTGGGGCTGGGGGGCCGTCTCCCTAGGCCCTGGCCCACTCTTGCCATCCTCTCGCCCACAGCTCCAGTACATGATGGTGATGGTGGGCTACCCGGACTTCCTGCTCAAACCCGAGGCTGTGGACAAGGAGTACGAGGTGGGTCTCCCCTGGCCCTACCCTGCCTGACTGGCTGGGCTGCAGACCCTTGGTCAGGACCCCCAGGGAGGCCCAGCACCACCACAGAGAAGGAGTCATGGCCCTCGGCTGATGGCCCCTGGGCGGACATGGGGCCTGCACAGCCCTGGTCTGGCCATTTATATCCCTGGCTTGCCGTTGAGAGCTGCCCATCCCCTGCACAGTTCGAGGTCCACGAGAAGACCTACTTCAAGAACATCTTGAACAGCATCCGCTTCAGCATCCAGCTCTCAGTCAAGAAAATCCGGCAGGAGGTGGACAAGTCCACGTGGGTGCCTGGCCCAGAGCTGGGGGAGTCAGGGAGGGTGGGTGGGCGGGCGGGGCAGAGAAGCTCCTTGCCGGGGACAGGCGGCTGGTGGGGCAGACGGCCTCAAAGCCGGCGGTGCAGGTGTTGGGGGTGATTGGGGGACTCCGAGGTGGTGGGGGTGGGACAGGACAGGTGGTGGGGGTGGGACAGGACGTGGCTACAGGCTGGGCCACTCCTTCAAGGAGCACACGTGGGAGGTGGGGGTGGTGGGGGAGCGAGTGCGGGCCCCTAGCTGACCCCACCTCCCTGCACAGGTGGCTGCTCCCACCACAGGCCCTCAACGCCTACTACCTACCCAACAAGAACCAGATGGGTAAGGGGGCGTGTCCCGCACGGGGTGGGGGGGGCCCCTGCAGGCAGGGCTCCTCTGACCCTGCCCTCTGCGCAGTGTTCCCTGCAGGCATTCTGCAGCCCACGCTCTACGACCCGGACTTCCCGCAGTGAGTGCCCCGCCTGGCCAGAGCCCGGCCATCGTCTGGGGCTGCATGAACGCTGCTCAGGGTGTCCTGCCCCGGGCTGGGCCCAGCAGTCACCACGGCCACCACCCTGGGTCCCCATAGCCTTAGGTCAGCCTTGGTTATTTAGGAAACTGTGGAGCTTTTCATCCTCTCCTCTCCTCTCCTCTCCTCTCCTCTCCTCTCTCTCCTCTCCTCTCCTCTCCTCTCCTCTCCTCTCCTCTCCTCTCCTCTCTCTCCTCTCTGTCCTGAGTTCCTCCTTTCCCAGTTTGAGGCTTCATCAGGTGTTTCAAAAGTGGAGTGACCCTAGTGATGAGGAAACAGGCCAGGTCCCAAGTGGGCTGCCTCAGTTTCCCTCCTGTCTTCCTCCAACTCGGTCTCTTCCCCTATCCCAGCTCTGTTAGGGATCGTTTCCTAAAAAGCAGTTGCAAAGGCATCACTGCCCCTTTTACGTATTGCATGAGGAACCTGAGGCATAACTGCCCCAGGACTGGGAGGACTCCGGTATGGCCTCCCTGGGCCACTGTGGTTGGCCTGCCTGGGGCCTCCCGGGGCCTGGGCAGCAGCGTGCAGCTCCCAGGAGGTGGGCGAGGCTGGGCCTGACGCTGCTGCCCTGGGCCCAGGTCTCTGAACTACGGGGGCATTGGCACCATCATCGGACACGAGCTGACCCATGGCTATGACGACTGGGGTGAGGCCCGCGGTGGCGGAGGGGGTATTGTGGGAGGGGAAGGACAGGCAGCGGGGGGCAGGGTGGTGACGGGCTGATGTGAGACCCTGCAGCCCTTCTGTCCCCACTGGCCAGTGGGTAGATGGGGGAGGGGTTTTGGGGATGAGGGTCAGCCTCAGCCACCCCCCCCACTGCCCACAGGGGGCCAGTATGACCGCTCGGGCAATCTGTTGCACTGGTGGACGGAGGCTTCCTACAGCCGCTTCCTGCGCAAGGCGGAGTGCATCGTCCACCTGTACGACAATTTCACCGTCTACAACCAGCGGGTGAGACCCCTTTGCTCCCCTCCAGGCCCAGTTGGGCACCAACTAGGGGCATGCACACTTGCGTGCACACACGTGTGCCTGGGTCCCTGTACGCATGCCCGGGTTTTTTTTTTTTTTTTTAAAGATTTTATTTATTGATGAGAGACACAGAGAGAAAGAGAGGCAGAGACACAGGTAGAGGGAGGAGCATGCAGGGAGCCTGATGTGGGACTCGATCCCGGGACTCCGGGGTCACGCCCTGGGCCGAAGGCAGGCGCTAAACCACTGAGCCACCCGGGGATCCCCATGTGCCGGGGTCTTGCACACACTCACTGGGGCGCATGAACAAGTTCTCACAGACTCCTGGGACATGGGGCACAACGCGTTCAGAGCCACGTAAACCCTCTGGGAAAAGGAAAGAGGGTGGGCAGGGCCCAGGGCAGCAAGGCCAGTGGACTGCAGACAGCCCGGGCCTCTTCCGCTCTCGGCAGGTGAACGGGAAGCACACCCTTGGTGAGAACATCGCGGACATGGGTGGCCTCAAGCTGGCTTATTATGTGAGCTGCCCCTGCCTGGCCCTTCATTCCGTGGGGGGAGGGTGGGGATGATAAGGACGCAACTAGGGACATAGGCACCCCTGCCTTCCCAGCCCTCAGAGATCTGGCCTGGGAGGGGCGGGGCCTGTGATTGGCAGGGGGGCCACGGGAAAAGGAGGGATTCCCAGGCTGTCTTTCTGGGAGAGCAAGGAGGGCTGCCTGGAGGGGGTGAGGGCTGCCTGCCGTTAGCCCTCCTGGAAGGAGCACAGCTCAGGGAAGTTGGGAGGCAGGATGCCCAGGGCTCAGGGGCCGGTGAGGGGCTGACTGGGTGGAGGCTGAGTCAGGTCACCACCCTGGGGCACCGCAGCTCCACACTGTCACCCCCAGGCCTATCAGAAGTGGGTGCGGGAGCATGGCCCGGAGCACCCGCTGCACCGGCTCAAGTACACGCACAACCAGCTCTTCTTCATTGCCTTTGCCCAGGTGGGCCAGGTGGGGGCGGGTGGGAGGTGGTGGGGATGGGGACAGCTGTCAGCCTGTCCTCGTGGGTGCCAGCCCTGGGAGGCGGTGGTCCCGTGGGTTCTGCTCAGGCAGCAGGGCCCAGTGTGCTGCAGGGGTTTGCAGGGCTTGCTCAACGGACTCCTTGGCTTCTTCTTTCCCTTTCCTTCCTTCCCCCACCACGGGGCCCAGAACTGGTGCATCAAGCGGCGGTCACAGTCCATCTACCTGCAGGTGCTGACCGACAAGCATGCACCTGAGCACTACAGGTACGCCTGCCTGCCCGCCTGCGCCCCATCCCCTCCTTGTGTCTGGGGTGGGAGCAGGCGGGAAGGGGAAGGGGCAGCTGGGACTCCCTCCAGGTAGGTCTCTCCTCCTGCCCCAGGGTGCTGGGCAGCGTGTCCCAGTTCGAGGAGTTTGGCCGGGCCTTCCATTGCCCCAAGGACTCGCCCATGAACCCTGCCCACAAGTGCTCTGTGTGGTGAGCCTGGCCATCTGCCCGCACACCCTCGCTGCCTGCCCTGCACGAATTGCCTCCCTGCCAGCTGCCGGGGCAGGCATGAACCCGGCACTGGTCCTCGCTGGGTGCCACCCGCCTTCTGAGCCCCTCCGGGACCTGGCCTTCCTGCTGTCCCTCACCTCAGGAGGGGCCCAGAGCAGGCCTGAGGCTGGGCTCCAGGAGGGCGTGGGGGAGAGATGCGGGGGTCCCCAATACTGGCTCTAAGGAGCCAGACCGCCCCCCTCCGGCCAGGCCGGATTGTACAGGCCCCACCTTCACTGTGTTCTTGCTGCTAAGTCTGGTCAATAAACTGCTGTACTGTCGCCATGGTTTCTTCAGGGGCCTCTGGAGCAGGTGGGGCTGGAGGGGCCCCCTTGGTGGGGAGGCTCAGGCCCTTAGCACAACGGGGACCCTAGACAAGACCTGGCCCCTTCCTGTCCCACCTCCCTGGGTCTTCTGTCTTTTCCACCAATCAGCTGTTCCTCCCTTCCCTGCAGTCCTGCCTCAGCTCCCATGCGGTTCTGGGGGTGCCCCTAGACAAGGCTGGGGGGTGCCTGAACACCAAGCCCCGAGGGGGCTGTACTCCAGCATGACCCTGGGACCCACTGCCCCCGAATGTCTAGACACCCCAGGAGCTCTGGCAGTAACCTTAGCCAGTCATGGAGCCCAGGCCAGGCCTTGGGCTCAGCATGTCCACGAGAGGGGAGCTGTGACACCTGCTTACAGAGTTGGGGGTCAGTCGTGTCCCCCTCCAGCCCAGAGTGGAGGCTCCAGGGGTGAGAAAAAGAAAGGAGCTCAGGCCCTTTGCACAAATGGGACCCTAGACAAGACCTGGCCCCTTCCTGTCCCACCTCCAGCCTCCACCAGCAGTGGCCCACGGTGGAGGCAGGAGGCAAGTGGTGCTGCCTCATGAACAGGAGGGTGGGGGTGCAGGGGGGGGCAGATGGAGCAGCCCCACTGGGTTATCTGAAGACAGTGGGGGGGACCAGTGGGCCTCCTGCCTTTCCTCCTCGAGTCCGTCTCTCTCACTTCAGGGACAGCCTAGATGGGGTGGTCGCCCCCTCCCCGCCAGCCCATCCGATGTGGCCTGTCCCCATCTCCCACTGCAGTGACGAATCTCCTGCTAGCCCAGCTCCTGTCATGCTCAGAGAACGCCTGTCCCCATATCAGCCTTGAGTGACATTTTAAAAGTTTCTGTGTCTGAGCCTTGGGCACACCAACCCTGGGGAGTGAGAGACAGGGCAAGGCCACGGCGGATGGAGCCAGAGTAGAGGCGGGCGTCGTGGTCGTGGGGCCCTGGGGCTGGGGGGGGGGCGCCCTACAGAGAAGAGGCAGGACCTTAGAAGGACCCCATGGGAACAGGAGAGTTCCCCAAGGGGCACTTCAGGAGACTCAGGAGGCCCCGCCCATCAGGGCAGAGCTGCCCCTCACAGGCGTGGGGGGCACACGGGGATTCGGAGCCTGGTGGAGGTGCTGTGTTTGTGGACCTACCTTGGTTTCCCCTCAAAGCCCCTTCCCGGTGTGTACGTGTGCTGGGCACGTGTATACCGTATCCCTCAGCCGCTGGCAGCCAGAGCAGAAGGACAGTTCTCTCCTTGCTGCCCCCTGGGAAGGGCCCGGTGTCTGGGCCTGCCGTACCCCACACTGCACCCCATCCCCCTGACCTGGGATCCTGGCTGGAATCAGAGCCCCCAGGCCCAGCCCTTTTGCCCCCAGTGCCCCAGTGGCTCTCCCAAGCTCCCCAGCTCCCCCCAAGGCCCATCCCTCCTGTCTCCCACCCAGCTCGGGGCAGGCCTGGGTGGACGGGGCCGGGGGTGAGCCACCAGCAGGCCCAGCAGGGTCACTCCCACCCTGCCTCGGGAAGGGGTGAAGCCCCAGCGCTCCTGGGGCTGAGTCCCTCCTTCCCCCTGTGCCCCACTGAGGGGGCCAGAGGGGCCTGGGCACTGGGGGTAGGCGGGCCCCTGGGAGAGGCTGGTCCGAGCCCTGTGGGACCCTGCTGCTGGCCGGGAGCCAGATGCCCCGTGTGCGTCCCAGCCGGGGAGCGCCCACCCTGCTGGCAGGCTTGCGGTCTGACCGGCCGTGAAGCCACCGGAGACGCCTCAGCCTGCTGGCCCCTTGCTGGGCAACCAGCGGAGATGTCGCTGCTCCCTGGGCCTTCGGGCCTTCTCATACTTCTTTAGGGAGAATGGAGGGAGGTCGTCGGGTCAGAGGCACCTCAAGCCAAGGGCACCCGGAGCATTGAGTCCTGGTGCTGGGACGGGGCCCACGACATTCAGACAGGGCCATATAACCTAGAGCCACGGTGTGGCCCAGCAAGGCACAGCTGCGACAGTGTGTCACCCACTTGTTCCCAAACTGCTTTTCCAGACAGATGCTTGGAGCATCCTCACTGCAACCTGGTGAGGTGGACAGAGTGACAGGGACAGCCCTTTTAACAGGGAAATGGGGGGGGGGGCACATGCCCTAAGGTCACGCTGCATGTGTTAGGTGATGGGCATCTCGTGGCTGCCGAGTCCCCTTGGGCCCCAGGTATCCTATCCCTCCTGCCCTCTGCGTGTCCTGTTAGGAAGCCACACCCCGTGCAGATGCCGCCCGGCCGTTGTCTGCCGGGCCTTGTGCTCACGGCCAAGCTGAGGATTAGCTGCCTGATTCCTCTGGGGCGGAGGAGCTGAACGAGGTGGGCGCAGCTGCTGCTCTGCCTCAGTTTCCCTTTGTTGAGCACAGGCCATGAGTGCAGGGAAGGTCTTCTCGGTGGCAAGGGGGCAGGCGGTTGGAAGGCTGATCCCCTCCATTCCCCCATCTCTCCCCCAGGGTGAGGGTGTCCTCTGGGCACAGCCCGTAGCCCCCTGAGATGACAAGGTGCAGTCTCTGGACCCCGATGTGGGGCTCGATCCCGGTCTCCAGGATCGCGCCCTGGGGGGGAAGGCAGCGCTCAACTGCTGAGCCACCCGGGGATCCCCTCCAGCTGAGCATTTAATAGCAGGGAAAGAAGAGCTGGGGATAGTTTACAGCTGCGTTGAAGCTTCCAGGCATCCACTCTTGTGCCCATGCGCAGAGCACCTCACGGTCCCTGCTGGGCCTGGATCTGCTGTCCCTGGCTTTGAGACCTTGAGCCCAAGGGCCCCTGCTGGGTGACCTGGGCAAGTGACTCACCGTGTCTGTGTCCCAGGAGCACCATCAGCAGCCCAGGCGGTGCCTGTGAGGGGGGCCTGCCTCCGATGGATCGATGCGAGCCTCCCCTGCCCCCACCCCTCCGCGGCCGCGGCTGCTGCCTCAGCACGTTGGCTGGACTCTGGACTCTGGGTCCTCAGGGCCAAGGAGGCCAGGAGGCCCATTGGCTGGAGCCCTCTGGGTGCCGGCTCTGTACAGATCTGGGAAGGGCTGGAAGCCAGCTGGAGAGGGGTGCCCAAGCTTCCCTGCCGAGGGTCTCCGAGGGAGTGTGGGTGTGGGGAGCCCTGGGGTTTCTGTGGCACCCAGGAAGGGGCACAGGGTGGCTGGTGCCACCGAGCAGCTGTAAGCCCAGGCCTTTCTAACCAGCTCAGGGGAGCCAGATTCGCGGCCCCTGTGGCTGCTTCTGTGATGACCCAGATGCCAGGGGGCCTGGGGGCCCTGGGGGGCCCCCCTCGTGAGGTGTCCTAGCTGCAATATTTTTAAATGGCTTGAGCCCCCATTCTAAAAATGTCGGGAAGCCCAGGGTCCTCCGTCTGTAAGTACCTCTGGGGCTGGGATCTCAGGGGGCCTAGGTTTCTCCTCCTGCCTCCTCTCCCACCCATGCCCTCTATGCTGGGCAGCTCCCCGGTCCCCTCCGCCCCTGGACCACCCACACGACACTAGGTGGAGTCACCGACTTTACGACTTTACGGAAGGTTTGGGGTGCCCGAGGGGCCCTCTCTGTGCCTTCTCCCCATCCTCCAACATGGCCTGAGAGACCCACTTCCTCTGGATTTATTGAGAAGAACAATTTCCCTTCCCCCCTGCTGGCTCCAGGCTGGTGCCCAGGCCCACCGCAGCCTGTAGCCCTGGGAGCGTCCCCTCGGGCCACCCAGCGGCGGGACAGCGCAGACGGCAGGTGGGCCAGGGCAGCTGCCCATCCCCGGGCCCGGCTTCTGTGTGAGCCTGGGCCACTCGAGTCTGGATGGCACATCACCGAGTGACAGCCTCTCCTCTGCGTCCACCGGGTCGCCGGCTTTGTCTGCAGAACTGCCAGGGGTGGGGGCTGCCAGGTCCCAGGCGCCCTGCCCTTTGGGGAAACTGGTTGCCCACTGGTGTGGCTTTGCCCGCAGAGCCCCTGTGATGAACCGACTCCACCCCGGGGGCCTGGCGGGTCGGCTCTGCGGCTGCTCCGCCTTCGGGGCAGGGCTGCAGGGGCCCAGAGTCCCCGCGTGAGCTCCTCCTCCGGCGGATTCACTGGCGGCAGCTCCGCCCCGGGCCCCCACCGCCACCGCCACCGCCACATGGTGCTCTTAAGCGGCATCTCTCTGAGGCTATCGTTTGCATAAATAATAATAATAAAACCCCGCCGCTCCCACCTTCCCGTGGGACCAGAGCCGCGATGTGCGTGGGGGGCTGGCCGTGGCCGTGGCTCCGTCACCGGGCTGGGCCCGAGGCTGCGGGGCTGGGGAGCGGGCGCCACCGGGGAGACCCACAGTTGGTCCCGGGCTTCCCCAGCGCCAAGGTTAGCCCAGGGGGGCTCCGGCTGCGTGCTGTCAGGACGCCGGCCTGTGTGGGCGCTGGTGGCAAGTTTCGAAGCTCTGATCAGTTCGAGTAGGCGGCCCTGGGGTCCCTTTAGGCCAGAGGGTGCGATTGAAAACCCTGGGCACCTTCCTGGAGGCCTGGGGGTGGCGGTGGGGGCGCCCTAGGGAGGGCAGGTGGGGACTGGGGGTGGCAGCGTCACAGGGGCAACTGCCTGTCATTCAGATGCTCACCAGGCGGGAGACCTGTTTCTGGACCGGGTGTGGTGGGGAGGGACTAACAGAATCAGATGGTAATGTCAGCTTCAAGGTCGGGACGAGGGCACATCGGGCATCCTGTCCCTGAGAGACGGCATGCCTGTTGCTCCCCATGGTGACACACCCCATATCTGCTACCTGAGCCCCGTTGGGCTGGGTGCAGGGACAGGGGCTCAAGGGCACTCCAGCGGGAACCACATATTCATATTTAACATCTAGCTCCAGGCTGGCACCTGTGCCCTGTCATCTGGGCCCCCACCCCGACATGGTTACCGGTGCCCTGGGGGAAGAGAATGAGGGTGTCCAGCAAGGGACACCCCCTCCAATGAGGGACATCCCCTCCCCACTTGCTCACTTCCATTTCTTAGAGTTTAGTGTGTCTGCCTCAGTGGATTTGTGGATAATGTGGTCTAATTTTAAACAAACGAATCCTCCAAAACAATCAAGTAGCTTCTGAAAGAGCTCCGTAAAGAACCTGCAAATAATATGGATAATCCCCACGGGGTAAGCAACCACAGAAGTGGCAGCTCTGACACGTCCCCCCTCCTGACACATGCTCATCATCCCCCCCGGTGCAGACCTGATGAGAAATTAGCTCTAAATATAAAAAAAAAATAAACAAAACTGAACTGTTTGAAGCAACTCCACTGCCATCATTACTGGGGAAGCTTGCCCCGAGTGACAGGTGCTGAGAGAAGCTAGTCAACAGCAGCACGACATCCTCACGGAAAAAAAACAAAAAAAACAAGAAAACAAAAAACAAAAAACACAAGCTTTCAGAACACGGAGACAAACCCCCCGCAATTCTTTTCCCAGGGATGCTTAAAGTTAGGTGCTTCTCAACTCAGTTACTTTTTGATATTTCCCTTAGCGATGATAAATATTTGGAAAGCTCTTTTAAAGTTTCTTGCATAATAGCATGAGACAAAAAAAGAAAAAAAAAAAACCACCTACCACCAGGCAAACACTTCGTTTTTCTCTGCCGCAGTAAAAATGGCAGAAACAATGAACAGAAAATGATCTGTCGACAAACCGAAAGGCATTTCTTTGTCAGCAAATACTGTTGAAAGATGTAGAGAAAACACTACCACAGATTGGAGGGAAGTGTTAGCGCCAATTACCCCGTGTGGGAGGCTTGCTGCACGGTGTCTACACAGCTGCGCTCGAGGTATCTGCTGGTTCTGGTCCCATAATGAAATACACAAACCATTTGCGTGTGTGAGTGTGTGTGTGAGTGTGTGTGTGGTGTGTGTGTGTGAGAGAGTCAGGAAAGGAAACCTGTAGCAGAAAAGATAGGTGCCCAACAGTGGGTGCTTTGTTTAATAAGAGCAATTGCAAAAAAATAAATAAATAAGAGCAATTGCCAACGGCGGGGTGGGGGGGCACACAGCATTAGGGTACCCGACGCCAAACAGCTACCGGGGAAGGATTTTTAAAGGCTTCTGGGCGAGGGAAAGGTGCAGAGGTAGCGGCAGCTCCCCAGCCCATGCACCGGCCCATCCCGTCAACCCACTGCAGGAAAGAATTAGAAGCCAGAGGGCCCGTAAAATGCTGCAGGAGCCCCCAGGGGTGTTAACTTTAGAAAGTCAAGGTTGTTCTAGCAGACTTGAGTCTTTATGACACTTGGTAATAAGATCGGGTGTGACCAGGGAAACTTCCAGACCACACAGAACGAATCATCTTGATGGCAACGAATTGAAAAGGGCTGTCGTGGAGTCCCCTCCCTCTCTTTCCTCTCAGCTTTTTCTCCTTAAACACAGAGGAGGAGACATTTCTTGAGGCGACAAGAGCTGTTTTAGGCACCCAGTAAAATTATTAGAAAAATAGATGCACCTTCGCTGCATCTGCCTCTTCCAGGTAAAGTGTAATTTTCGAATGTAATTTCTGTGCTGAAAAATCCATTCTTTTAAAGTGTACAATCCGTGGTTTTTAGGATAGTCAAAGTGGTGCGATCGTTACCACTAACTCCAGAATAACCTGCTTTTTAAACCTGTGGAGTTTTACATTTTAAAATTTTTATTTGTTTTAAGTAAACTCTACCCTCAACGTGGGGCTTGAACTTACGACGTTCAAAATCAAGAGTCGCACCCTCCACCCAATGAATCATCCAGGCCCCCCTAAACATGTAGAGTTTTAAAATGTTTCCTTGGACTTTGAACCCATTTATGAAACATAAACATTCAGCACCTTCCCACTGGTTTGTAAGACCAACTCATTGACAACAGGGAAGACAGAAATATGGCAGCTGGATTTGATCAAATCTTTGATAACTGGTGGATGGAGTTTAAAAATGAGTATGATGGTTTAGCAAGCCTAGCTAATCGTGCCCTTTTTCCATGCAGCTCCCATATTTTTGTGACAGCCACTAAGATCCAGAATTGAAGTAAACTGCCCTGAGGGCCGTTCCTTCAAATTGATGTTTTACAGTGCAAAATCAAGAGTTTAGTAAATAAGAATTATAACAACTCAGTATGGTGACAGATGGTAACTAGACTTACTGTGGGGACCCATTTCTCATTGTATATGTCTATCGAATCACCGTGTTGGACACCTGAAACTAATACAATCGGGTATGTCAATTATTCCTCAATTTTTAAAAAGACTTTAGTAAATAAGAAAGCACACTCAATCATATTGATATTTCCAGTGAGAGCAAAATGCTTTTTTGCACCTTTGCAAATGTACAAATAAATCTGTAATTTTGTAAAATTTATTTAAAAATACAGTTGATGTCATTTTCATAAATTCTTTTCAGTGTTCCCCGAGGGAGGGGAGTTAGATACTCAACAAGCGCAGCTCTAAGGGAGGGGGTGCTCCGGAATATTTTTGGATGGAGGTCAGAAATGTTTGGAGTCTGCACCTCCTCTCTGGTTTCCCAGCTCCCACCTCTACACTCTTCCTACAAACAAACAAACAAAACAAACAAAACAAACAAACAAAACAAAACTCTGATCCCTGAAATAATCAGAGTGGTATTTTCTAAGAGTCAGGTCATGTTATGTATGCCCCTGCTCAAAGCCTTTCCAATCACATACCACACTTTGGGTCAAGCTCCCATCCCTCATTATCCCTCAGGTTTCACTCCCTACCCTGTGCCACCCGAACTCTGATCCAGCTATTAGTCTGGAAGAACACTTGCTGATCGCTGCCTCAGGGCCTTTGCACAGCTGTTCCTTCTGCCTTGCTCATGGCCTCCTTTCCTTGTCTTTGCTCCATGGTCTGCTCCTCAGGCAGCCCCTCCCTGACTTCCTGATCTGAATTGTCCACCCCACCCCCTCACTCACAGACTACTTCTGTGCTCCCACACACTAATGATGTTTCTTTTTTATTTATTTTTATTTTTTTTAAGAATTTTTTTAAAATTTATTTATTTATGATAGTCACAGAGAGAGAGGGGGGCAGAGACAGAGGCAGAGGGAGAAGCAGGCTCCATGTACCGGGAGCCCGACGTGGGATTCGATCCCGGCTCTCCATGATGGCGCCCTGGGCCAAAGGCAAGCGCGAAACCGCTGCGCCACCCAGGGATCCCACTAATGATGTTTCTTTCTAGAACATACCACAACTGGCATTACTCTGCATAACAGTTTATTTGATTATTGTTTTGTCCCTCTCAGTAGCGTAGAGGCACGGGGAGGAGAGGGAATTTCCTCACAGACATGCTCCTTGGATCTCCCAGCCTGGAATGGGCACTGGGGGGTGAACATCAGTAGCTAAGTGACTTGGGACCTCTCTCCCACTCTGGGTCAGCATGTCCTCTGTGCAATAGTACGGCTGGGCCCCCAGGAGGTGCCCAAGGTGGGTGGTACCACACTCGGGTCCGCAGCCTCCTCAGCCAGCAAGGGGCCTGCAGGGCGTGTTGCCGGGTGACAGGAAGCCACCCCTTTCCAGGCACGGTGACATGCCCGAGTCCTCGGGTCCCCAAGGTGCTGTGGAGACTGAGGCCAAGAAACATGCGTACTGCGGGGTCTGGGCGAGTGGTGGCCCCGTGGGGGACGCCTCCAGGATGGGGCTCACCTGGTCCCCCGCCAGGGCTCTCTGCAGGGCAGGGCCTGGTGGTCGGAGCCCCCCCCACCCCGCACCCCCACCCGACCCCGTCCTTACCCTGGCGCTGAGGCTGGGGGTGGGGAATCGAGAACAGCTCAGGGGGACGGTGGGTGCCAGGGGAAGCCACCACTACGGGCGAGGGTCTGGGGGCGGGGCCCGGGATGGGGGCGGGGCCCGGGATGGGGGCGGGGCGGCGCGGGGGGGCGGCGCTCAGGGCACGGCCCCCGCCAGCAGCGCGAGCAGCAGCGCCCCGGTCAGCAGCTGCAGCGACAGCGGCGCGGCCGGGCGGGGGAGCGCGGCATCGGTGGGGGTGGGGGTGGGGGTGGGGGTGGGGGTGGGCGCGGCCGAGGGCTGCAGGTTGCAGTCGGCGTAGGGCTCGAGGCAGGCGGCGAAGGCCATGACGTGCGCCACGAAGCTCTGCTCCTGCACGCCGTGCACCAGGTGCGCCTGCGGGCCGCGCGCGAACACCGCCACGTCCTCGCCGCCGTGGGTCTCGGAGTCCAGGGGCACCGCGGCCTGCGGCTTGTATGCGGGGTCCCCTGGCGGGGCGGGGCGGGGGGCTTCAGGGCCGGCAGGGCGGGCGGCCTCCCCATCCGGGTTCCCCCGCCGTGCCCCCCCCGGCCCCCAGACCCCCCCAGCCCGAGCCGGGGTGCTCACTGCTCTCGCTGTCGGAGACGTTGGGCCGGGGGACCCCGCTGAGTGCGAAGCCGGGGCCGTTGCCATAAAGGATGGAGGTGTAGGTCTTGTTGTCTTTGGCCATGCTGGGGGCCAGCCCTGCGGGGAGGAGGGGCCTGCGAGCACCCCGACCTGCCGCGGCGACGGGGCCCCCACGTGCCAGACCCAGGCTGCCCACCCACTGGCCCAGTCCTCACAGGAGCCCCACGAGGCAGTTGCTACTACCCCACTTGACAGGCGAGGAAACTGAGACCCTGAGCCATTTCTGCCACCCGATTCGTGGACAGCACCTGCCCCCCTCCCTGGGCCTACCGAAAATGGAGCTCCCTCGCAGGGTGTAGCCCCCGAAGGAGAACACGTGAGAGTGGTCGGCGGTGACCAGGGTCAGGGTGTCCCTCTCACTTGTGAGCTGGCCCGCCTTGTCAATGGCGGAATCGAACATGACGGCCTCCGTCAGGGCCAGGTAAGCTGTGCCGTCGTGATGACCGTGGTCGATGCGGCCTCCTGCAAGCAGGGCACGGGCAAGGTGGCCAGTGCGCAACCTGCCCCAACCGTCCCCACTCCTCTGCTCAGCAACGGCTGCCCCTCACCTTCCACAAAGAGGTAGAAGCCCTTGGGGTTCCTGCTCAGCAGCCTCAGGGCCGCCTCTGTCATCTCCATCAGGGATGGGTCCTGGGTTCTGTTTCGGTGGACCTCATATTTGGTGTCTCCTGGCTCAAAGAGGCCTGCGGGAAAGGGGTCCCGGTGCTGACTGCTGGGGAGACGGGAGGGCCAGGGGCGTGGACCCCTGTGTCTATGCTTGGCTCTCTGAGGACTCGGGAAGCCAGGCAGGAAAGTGGGGGTGTCTGGGGTCATTACCCATGAGGTGTGTCACAGAGGCGTCCTGGGATGCCTGAATGAGCGCTGTGCGATTCCACACATACTGGGCACCCTGGGAGGGGCAGAAGCGAGCCTCAGTCCAGAGCCCTCCGAGCCTTGTCCCTGTTGTATCCCTGGCGTCCACAGGCCCCCATCACCTGGTACTTGGCCTGCCATTCCTGCACCAGGTTCCGTCTGTCCAGCCGGATTCCGTTCTGTTTGGCATCAGTTGGATACTCAGGATCCGGAGTCCCCTTGGGGAACATGTACTTTCGGCCTCCGCCCAGGATCACCTGTAGCCAAAGGATTTGGGAGGAGGGCTTGGGGCCTGGCTCGCCCTTTGCTCCCTCCTCAGACAGCCCATAGCTCCCCTACCAGGTCTGTGGGTGTGGCCTGGGCCCAGCTGTACCACCTCCACACCGTACCCCCCTCGACCCCCCCATTCCCCAAGATCTGGGAGACCCTGCCAGGCCCCAGAGCTAGGCTGTCAGTTGCCTGGGACTATGGCCCGTGCACGCCCCCCTCCCCACCCTTGGGGTCCCACATCAATTTCCATGTTGGAGATGAGCTGCTGGGCGATGTCCTGGCATCCGTCCTCCAGCGCCTTGGCAGGCATGTTGGCATCTGAGTACCAGTTGCGGTTTACTACGTGTGCGTAGGTGCCGGCTGGCGAGGCATGCTGCACTCTCGTGGTGGTCACCACACCCACGGACTTCCCTGAGGGTGGCAGAGGTCAGGGTGAGCCCCTGAGGTCTCTAATCCTGCCTCTGCCCGCTAAGCTGGCCCCATGCTCACCTGCTTTCTTGGCCCGGTTCATCACGGAGATGACCTCATTGCCACGTGTCGTGTTGCACTGGTTAAAGCGGGCGGCCGCGCTCACACCAATGGTCTGGTAGTTGGCCTTGACCCCGCACAGGTAGGCCGTGGCTGTGCCTGCGCTGTCTGGCACCTGTCTGTCCACGTTGTAGGTCTGGGGAACAGAGACACCCTCAGCTGTGTCATGACACCATCAGACGGCCAAGATCCTGACCCAGGCCCCAGGGCCCACCCTCACTGTGCTGGTGGGGAGCACCCTGAGGCCACCCTGCCCTTACCTTGGACAGAGCCAGGTATGGAAATTGGTCCATGGCCAGAGGCGTCTCAGGTCCCAGATTGTCATTAATTTGCCCCTTGAGGATCCGAGTGGCCGTCACTGTGGGCACCCCCATCCCTGAAGGAGTACACCTCATCAGGCCTGAGTCCGCAGCATTGCTCTATGTCCACCAGCAGCGCTGGGTGCCAGGGTGTGGGAGCCCGCAGGGCACGGACAGGCCTTGCACACTCACCATCCCCCAAAAAGAGAATGAGGTTCTTAGCAGCCGTCTGGATGGGCTGCAGCTTCTTAGCGGTGTCCAGGGCCTGGGCTGCCTGGCGGTTCCAGAAGGCTGGGTCCTCCTCCTCAGCTGGCCAAGGGGAGAGTGGAGGTCAGGTCAGTGGGAGTGCCCCACGTGTGTGTGTGGGAAGCTGGGAGATGCCTCCTTACCTGGGATGTTGCCAAGGGCCAGCCGTGGCCTCGGGCCCAGCAGCAGCAGCAGCAGCAGCACCCGGGTGCCCTGCATGGCTGTGGGATGGCGGGGGCACCGCAAAGCCAGGACTGCGGGCAGGCTGGGACCCCGGCGGGCCAGAGCTAGGGTACCAGCTGCCGTACCAGCCAGCGGACCTTTAGTCGGGGCAGGACTTTGTCCCTGGCTGTAAAAGTCTCCATGTCCCTCCCATTGTCCCCGGTGGCCACCCTGACCCCGCCCCTGCCCTGTGACTCTAAGTCTGATGGCAGAAGGGATATGGCAAGGTGTGGCCGAGCAGGCCTCGGGGCAGGGGTCCTGGCAGAGGCAGGTGTGTCCACACGGGCTAATCCCAGCAGCCTCCCCAGGGTGGGGTGGGGACCAGGGGGCACACCCCCCTGTGGGTCAGGAGCATTGCAGGGCCCCGTGGGGGCTGCTCCTGACCCTTTGCTCACACGGTCTCGTGGAGAACCATTACTCCTTCGTGCACCGCATTTGTTCCGTGTTTTCTGAAACCAGCTTTCTCGGGCCGGGCTCGGTCCTGGGTGCTGAGAGGAGGGGATGGGGTGTGAAGCACACAGCCTGGGCCAGCGGCCTGGGTTTGGCTTCCTGATGCTGCCGAGGCCCAGTGACGCGGGAAATGTGGGGTGGCCTGGCTCTGACCAGGCTTGGTGTGGGCAGGTGGGGGAGGTGCTGGGCTCAGAGGGCACCCAGGAGGCCCAGAGTTCCCGTGCTGTGGAAAAGGGTGGGACTGATGGTGACAGAGCAGAACCTTGTCTGTGTGTCCAGTTACTGAGAACCGGGCGGGCCTTGTTGGGGGGTGGTGTGCACGTGCGTGTGTCTGGGGGGGAGGGGGCCCCAGTGTACGTGAGGTTGATCTCTGCTCCCTTGGACAGGCAGACAGAACGCAGGGGTGAGTCTCTCCTCTCCACAGGCCGCGCACACCCACAGGTGTAGCTTCTGTTAGGGAGCTAAGAGGCTTCAGTAGCCAGGCTGGTGCAGGGTTGAGCGTCTGCCTTCGGCCCAGGGCATGATCCCCGGGTCCCGGGATCGAGTCCCACATCGGGCTCCCTGCGGGGAGGCTGCTTCTCCCTCTGCCTGTGTCTCTGCCTCTCTCTGTGTGTTTCTCATAAATAAATAAATAACATCTTAAAAAAAACAAAAGCATCCCTCCGATCCAGCAATCGCACTTCTGGGTGATATCCCAAAGAATTCAGAGCAAGATCTAGAAGAGATATTTGCACTCCCACGTTCATAGCAGCATTGTTCACAATAGCCAAAAGGGGCAAGCAGCTCTGGTGCCCATCGCCAGGTGAGCGTGTAAACAAGGTGTGCTCCATCCACGTCATGAAATATCATTCAGCCTTAAAAAGGCGGGCATCCTGTCACCTGCTACACCATGGATGAACCCGGGGACATGATGCTAAGTGAAATAAGCCAGTCACAGAAGGACAAACGCTGCGTGACTCTACTTAGACTAGGAATCTAAAGTTGTCAGGTGGGTAGAGCTGGTTGCCAGGGGCCAGGAGGAGGAGGCGGCCCGGGAGGGGGTTTAGTGGGCACAGAGTTCCAGTTCTGAAGAAGGAAACATTCTGGAGAGCTGCCCTACAATGGTGTGAATATGCTTACCTCTCCTGAACCAGACACAAACGGTCACGATGGTAAATTTTATGTTGTGCTTTTCATCACGATTTTTAAAATATTCAAAAAAGAAACACTTTCGTCCTGGCTCCACCCACCCCAGTGGGCCTTGTAGCTCCCTTGGGAGGGGGGGTGGTTCTGACCTCCTCGCCACCAAGCCTCCTGTTGGGTCCTCCCTGCCCAGCCCCACTCTGCTCAAGCAGAGCTTTCCTGGGTTCCCCTCCCCTGACCTCTTCCCACCAGCTCACCAACCACACTGTCCTGGCTGTCCCCTAAATCTCTGGAGAGGTACCACCTTGGGAGGGAAACTTCCAGGCCTCTGAATGGCCCCCAGAGCTCCCTCTGTTCCCTGTAGAGTCTTGCTGTATTAGGCTAAAGTTCAGGGAAATACTAATCCCTGGGCAGGTCCTTAATTAATTAGTTGGTTCTTTTTACCAGGCTGTAGGTGAAAGGTTATGCCAAGATTAGTCGACCTTCCAGGAATTCCCCATATCCTTTTCCAATTGGATTTTTTTTTTTTTTAAGAGAGATATCAAGCAAGAGAGTGCATGTGCAGGCAGGTGGAGGGGCAGAGGCAGAGGGAGGCTCTTCAGCAGCTCCACCCCCAGTGCAGAGCCTGAAGAGGGGCTAAAGATCACGACCTTGAGCTGACCTGAGCCAAAACTAAGAGTCAGATGCTTAAGGACTGGGCCACCCTGGGCCACCCAGGCGCGCCCCTCCTCCATACCTTTTTCAATCAAAATTTTTGACATAACTTGTCGACTCACATGCAGTTGTGAGAAAAAATACAGAGATCCCTTGTGTGGTGCCCAGTTACCCCCAAAGGTACAAAATCCACAGGCTTTCAGATTTCTATTCGGATCTCCCCCCTTTTACGTGGACTCCTTTGTGCGGCTGTGTGGGCTCTACGCTATCTCGTCCCCTGCATGGGCTCATGTGAACGCCACTCACTGTAGTTGAGATACTGAGCAGCTCCAACCCCACGCACTGGCACAGATGCTTTATAACCGCCCCCTCCCTCCCACACACACCCCTGCTTGGTCTCTAACCCCTCTCCTGCATTTCTAAAATTTTGTCAATTTAAGTAAGTTACATACATGGCATCATATGGTCTCTGGGGGTTGGCTCTTTCTCACTCAGCATACTTCCCTGGAGATTCATTCATCCAAACACGGATCAGTAGCTGGCTCCTTTGTATGGCTGAGTGTCTTCTGTGGGATGAGTAGACCACAGTGTTTAACCCTTCACATGGCCAAGGACAGACACCTGTGCTGATTCCAGTTTGGGGGATTATAAATAAAGCTGCTGTGAATATTCACTCAGGCTTTTTTTTTTTTTGTGGGGGGGACATACGTTTTCATTTCTCTGTAATAAAATGCCAGGAGTGCAGCTGCTAGCACCTCTTATGGTGGCATTAAGTAATCATCGTGATCAGCCTTGGTTTCTTGTGAATTTTGTCATGTGCCTGAGTGGGACTGACCCCATGTCACTGGCAGGAAACAGAGCATGTCTGTCCACATTCGAAACCTGCAGCTATGACCTGGCTGTGCGGGAGCTGCCAGGGCACCCTGCCTCCCTGAGTCAGGCAGGCACCTTTGGGTGCCTGAGTCACCTGTGATGACATCTGCTTATAGTCCTTCTCCCAGGGCCCAGGATTACAGGTCCGCAGGCAGCAAGGTCTTTCTGGTGTGGAGTGAGAGATAATGCCTCTGGGGTAATCTGTGCAGCCTGCAGTCTGGCTGTCCTCGTCTGCTCCCTGGGAAGGAAGGGCTTGTCCTGTAGGGCCCCATCTGGAGCTCAGGCACCCTTCACCATCATCCTCATTTACCACCGGAGGCTGTCCGGGCCGTGTCTGAGCCCTGAGCACCGGGTGCATGTCGGCCCTGCCAGGGGCAGGGTGATGCTGGGCCCACCCCTGGAGCAGCTGCTGCCAACCCACGGATGGTATATGGCTCCTTCTTGCCTCCTGCCCTCCTGCCCTCCCGATGACACCCCCCTTGGGAACTGTAGTGAGGCCCTGCCACTCAGGGGGAGTGGGGCAGGAGCTGGGAACGACTGCCGATCATCGAAAGACAACACCCCTCAGCACAATGGGGAGCACTTTGGGGAGACGGAGGCATCTCCTTCTAGGGGCCAGTTTCTCTCATTTGAGCCTTCCACCAGCCCTGTAGCAAAGGTAGGAGTGTCCCCACTCAGGCTGGGATGCTGGGAGCAAACACAGTTGGGTTTTGCCCCTTTTCATGGGTAGCCCTCATGGGATCAGGGAGTAGGAAGGCTCCTGAAGGCCCCTGGGGGCCTGGCAGGCAGGAGGGAGGGCACGGGTGAGCAATGGGGGCAGAGGCATTATCTCAGCTCCACTCAGCCACAGTGGCAGTGCTTGACCCTCCCTGCACTTTTCTTTTCTTTTTTTAGATTTATTTATTTGAGAGAGAGAGAGAGAGAGAGAGAGAGAGAGAGAGCATGCTCACTCAGGGGAGAGGGGCAGAGGGAGAGGGAGAGAGAATCTCAAGTAGACTTCCTGCTGAGGGAGGAGCCCAACTTGGGGCTCCATCTCACGACCCTGAGATAAGACCTGAGCTGAAACCAAGAGTCAGAAGCTCAATCAACTTCCCACCCAGGCACCCCTCCCTCCCCACCCTTCTGATGACATGTCTCCCCTCTCTGGCCAGTTCTGGGGCCAGCCCACCTATCTCTCCTCCTGGCCCAAGCGGGGGTGCCATCAAGAAAGTCACGGGGCCTGTGCCACTCACGGAACAATTCGCCGCTTTGTGGCCTGGGGAACTGATGGACCACGAAGGACACTCAGCTAAGAGCAACAGGCTCGGCCAGGGTCACGGGCTCCGTGAGACAGATCTTAGAGGCAGCAGGGGAGGGAGCAGCCCCCAGCCTTTCTTTGCAGCTATGGTGTGTGTCTGGGGTCCCTGCTGCATGCCCAGAGACTGAGGCCCTGCCCTTCCCCAGGAGTAGAGGGGCGCGGACCAGAGAACAGCCCCAGGAGAGGGAAGGAAGCAGCAACAGCACAGACCTTGGGGGCACCCATGGGGCCATGGAGGCGAAGGTTTGCCGAGGTCCCTTCCGGGGCTCAGTGGAGGGGTGTGCCTCTGAGGCTGGAGCTCAAGTGTGCACTGGGGCACACCCTGGAACCCCAGGGGTTCCGCTGTACCCAGTCACTTGGGAATCCCCTCACACTGGGCATTTTGACCTGCACGGGGGTTAGCACCAGCTCTGTGTCCGGGGCCAGAGTGAGGTTGCAAAGCCCAAAGGCAGGCTCCAGAAGGCAAGCGTTAATAGAGGGAGCCCATTACCCCAGCCTTGGAAACTGAGGCCTGGGAGGAGCATGAAGCCCTGCGAACCTCATGAGGCCATTGCAGCCGCCCTCAGCGAGGGTCCTGGGGCACAACCCAGAAGCTGCGCAGCTCCTAGTTGTTTAAAGGAGATGATTTTGTTTAGTCGAAGTCTCTGGAGCACCAAGCTTATGTAAATCATCCTGGAGGTCTAGAGGATTCAAATCCGACCCAACCAGCTGGGGGCTTCCTGTCTAGAAGTTGCGGGGGGAACCCTAAACCCAATTGTGTTCCTGGACACTGTCCCAGGGGAAGAATCGAGGTTCCCTCGACCAGTGTCAGACCCCGCTGTGGAGGAGCAGGAAGTAATGCCAGGGTGGGGGGCATCCGGGCAGCACGGAAGCCTGGCCAGCCGGCTGGCGGGGTTGGGGCTGGGCCGGGCTTCAGGGGGCTGTGGGCAGAGTGGGGAGCACAGGCAGGAGCAGGTGAGGAGCCACTGGCAGGGGAGGGATGGACACGGTGGAGGGACGCTGGGACACTGTGTGGCTTTCTGTACTCTGGCCCCACGTGGGATCGTGGGATCGGCTCTCTCCTCGGTGCCCACCCGCCTCCCTGGCTCCCTCTCTCAGATCACCTACATCCCAAATCCCTCTCCTGCCACTGCCATTTGTCGGCCAGCCACCCTCTGGCCTGCCTCCCCAAGCTCTGGCCTCCCCTCCCACTGGACATTTCTTCATGCGGGATGATTATCATAAAGGTTTTCGGGGCACAGGGTGGCTCAGTGGGTGAAGCGTCTGCCCTCAGCTCAGGTCATGATCCTGGCCAGGGTTCCGGGATCGAGTCCCCATCCGGGAGCCTGCTTCTCCCTCTGCCTGCCACTCGCTCCTCCTGCTTGTGCGCTCTGATTCTCTCTCTCTCTTCCTCCGACAAATAAATAAATAAAATCTTAAAACAAAACCAAACCAAAAAGGTGCTCAACGGCTGCAGAATAAACCACATTATAGATCTCCAGGCTGGCAAAGACCAGGAAGCCCACCCACAGCACCCTGGGGCCTGGGCTCAGTCTCCACCCACCACTTCCAATGGGTGCCCTTCTGCACTTAACCTCTCTCAAGCCTTCAGGTCCCCCTCTGTGAGATGTGAAGAACAGGACCCAGGTCCCAGGGCTGTCAGCGCAGGGCCTGACAGAGACAATTCTGGAGGGGGAGAGGAAGGGCAAAACCCTAAATTTTGTAAAAAGGCAGGTCTTGAACATAATTAAAGCTAGCTGAAAAAATACATAAATAAAGCTAGTGGAGTGTTTGAACACCAAGTGGCCAAATATTAGACAAAGTGGCTCATTCCTAAAAAGCAAGTATTTATGATTAAGGTCTGTGTGGGTAAAAGCCTCCTTCTGGGCCATTCCGCTTACCTGTGTGGGGGGTGCCCAGGCACTGGCCTTCCCCAGGGGACCTTGGGTCACGTATCTTCGGGGGGGGGAGCGCAGAAAAGGAGACTGTCCACCAGCAGGGCAGCAAAGGCCACCGTATGCCCCTCCCATATGGTTCCTGGGGGCTCAGCGTGCTCCAGGTTGGCGGAGTGGGCTGCTGCCAGGCCTCCCCTCTGCCTGGGGGTGGAGGAGGGTGGGGGTGGGGGTGAGGGCAGGGGCAGGTGTGGGGGGGCTGGCAGGTGGCTGTTCTCCCGTGGGGCTCAAGGTCGGTGTCCCTAGGCTGACGCAGGGCGGAGGCAGGACTGGCTCGTCCGTGGCCCCCAGGGGGTTTGGTCTGGATGAACAACGTGAGGGAGGGAAGACTCACTCCTGTAACTGCATTCAGAACTTTAACTCTGATTTCTGGATCCTGAGAACCAGGAGGGCCGTCTTACTCCAAGAGCAGCTTGGTTTGAAAATCTACGAAGGTGAAATCTCAAGGAGACATTTGGCTTCACGTTCTGTCTCGCATTTCCGTTTCTGTTGCTTCTTCAATATTTCCCTACATGCTTTCCAGAACTGAGCAACAGACAATTTATGAACGTTAGAGAACACAACACAATTCACGAAACTGAGTAAAACAGCTTTAAGTAAAACAAATTCTTTAAATGGGACTTCCCCCCCTAAAACTGCTTTCTATGTATTAAAAAAAACACCCCCAAACCATAAAAACTTGTAAAAAGACGTTCAAAGAGATAATCTTGCAGGCTTTGAATATGTAACTGATTCAGATATGTGCAAATTCAATCTCCTCATTCCAAGTCCTTCATATACTCCCCCCGCCCACATCTCCAGAATCTTCTTCATTGCTGTGAAAGGCATCTTCTTCCTCCTCCCATTCAGCAGGGCTCACACCTTTCATCTGCTGCAATACCCCTCTCAACTCCAATTGGCTCTGGAGTGTGCGACTGGGCCCACGAACCGGGCCTCAGCAGTGGGTGCCAGCCAGGGCCGGGGTTCAGGCCGCCCGCAGAGCCACCGTGGAGCCTCACCTGCAGTTCTGTTCCCCTCTCCCCTGCAAATGCCACATGGCTGCTTCCTGGCTGGCTAGCTGCCCAGGGCCTCAGTCCCTCGCCCTGGACTCCCTGCCTTGGCTCAGACAATCAGACAAGGGGCCACCAGGGCCCCTAGGGGCTCCCCTGAGGCCACCAGTGGACCCATCCCCGCCAAGACTGCCCCCTGAGTCTTTCAGTAGAAGGCCTCAGGCACCATTTGAACTCACTGGGAGGATCAGCCACCTGTCAGCAGGAATTTTATCTCACTTACTGGAATGATGGACTGTTTAATATCCCTGTTGCTGAATGTACAAAAAGCCTTTTAAACCAACCGTATCCATTCCTGCTAAGAAAAAAGATTTTTGGGGGGCGGTGTTGGGATTTTTATTCTTATCCCAGTTGTACATGAATATAGTTTAGACTGTCGAGTAGATCTGTAGGGTTTGTTACAACAAAACAAAAGCAGCAGTTCCCTGTCTTCTCCCTGCATTTTCCCACACCCGAGACAACCACTTCTCTGTGTTGATATTTCTCACTTCTTCACTTTTCTATCGTGAGCTCTATCTGCTGACACAGTCTATGGCTCTTCTGTTCTCGGTGTCTGGAGCGGTGTGTGTATGACGAACCATCCCCAAACTACCTTACACGTTTACCTGATCACAAATCTGCAGTCTGGGCAGGGCTTGGAGGGGACAGTTTGTGTCTGATCTACGGGGCTTCCGTGGCGGTGGCCGGAGGGGACCTGGGGGAGCCACTTCCAAGATAAACTGGCTCGTTCCCCTGAGGGCTTCTCCACAGGAGCTGCTTGAGCTTCCTCACAACGAGGCTGCTGGGTTCCAAGAGACAGGGAGTGGAAGCTGCCAGCTTGAGGCCTGGGCCTCCACCCTGGCGGTGTCACTCCTGCCACATTTCTGCATATTAGCAGCCATCGAGCCTGCCCAGGTTTAAGGGGAAGGTGCACAGACTCGGTTGGTATTTATCTGTTTATTTAGCAGCTTCGCTGAGGTATAATTGACAAATAGGAATTGTGTATACCCGGGAAGTACAACGTGATGTTCTGACGTATGTACATATGGCGAAATGACCACCACAATCAAGTGGGTTAACGTATCTGTCACCTCAGGGTGACCATTTTCTTTTTGTGGCGAGAACACTCAAAAGCTACCCGCTTGGCGGCTTTCAAGTCCACGACACTGTATTGTTAGCTCCACGGCCACGCTGTACACGAGAGTCCCCAGAACGTGTCCATCTTACAACTGAAACTGTGTACCCAATGTCCCCATCTTGCTCCCTGCCCTGGCCCGGAGACCAGCTTCCTCCGCTGCTTTTACGAGTCCGATCACTGGAGGGCCCACCCATGAGCGAGAACACGCGCTGTCTCCCGCCGGGCTCCCTTCACCTCGCAGGACGTCCCCCAGCTTCATCCGTGTTGCCACACCGGCAGGGTGTCCTTTCTCACGGCGGGGTCGTGTCACCGTGCGTATGTAACATCCTTTCCCCGGCTGCCGGGCGCTCGGGCTGTTTCTTGGTCTCGGCCTCGTGAAGACAGCTGCTCGCCCCGCGCAGCCCAACCCTCCGCACGCCCCGCCCGTGCTCTCACCTCCAAGCAGCGGCATCGGAGGCTCTCTTGTCCCCAGGAGTCCGACTCTGGCCTTGCTGTCCCCAGCCCTCCTCTGCGCCGTCCTTTGCACCCCCCCACCCCGGGACGCTCCCCCCGCCGCCTCTGCCGGGGGCCCACCCTTGCCGGGGACTCCAGCACCTGCCTGCGCCTGCTCTGTCCCAACATCTTGGATCTGTTCCCTCTCAGGCCTTCATCTCACCTGGATTGTCACGGCCCCTCCAACCCGGACTCCCGCTTCCTGCCCTGTGGCCCGTCAGTGCCCCGTGCTCGCAGCGGCCGCAGTGGTGGCCTCGCCTCTTCCTGGGACCTGCTCTCCGTCCTCTTGTCCATCCCTCCCAACTGCCAGGGACCCCAAGAGCTTCCATTCTGCTCCCTGATGGGCCAGGGCTGGGCAGCCGCCCCATTCTTTCCTGGGGTCTCTCTGACTGCAGTGGGGAGAGGCTGTCAGTCTCTCTCCAGGAGGGTGGGCTGCAAGATACAGAAGATACACGCTTCCAGAAGGTCACCATGGAGGAAGTGACCTGCACCAGGAGGAAATGAAGCAGAAGGGGCACAGGGCCACCCCCGGTGACCCGGAGGCCTGGTGCCTCCCTGCCCCCCAAGGCGGCCTTCTCACCCTCCAGTATTCTCTCCGGCCTTCCTGCCAGCTCCCTTCCTCCCAGAGCCACTTCATACTGCGTTTCTCTCCTTTGAAATCAAAAGACAGGAGTCCCCCTGGACCTCAGGACCCTTCTCGGGCTCCTCCTTCCACCTCTTTCTCATCTTCCTGATTCCAGATTTTCAGTCCTGAGCCTTCCCAGGCTTTTAACCTGGGCTGTGTGCTGAGGACCGCCCCCCCCCCCAGAGCCCCACTCTCCCCTGCGCTTCAGGACCTAGGATGCCCAGGCCCCCACCCACCCCTGTTGCTGCACCCAGACCCTCCACCCCTGCCCAGCCTCTGTCCTGAGGCCCCTCGGGGCCTGTCCTCAGCATGAAGCCTGGGGACGATGGCCTGCACCCTCATCTGTTCTGCCCCAGCAAGGAAAGTCCTCCTCACGCCAGCCCCCTGGCTCTCCTGGCTCCCTCCACACCTGTGCTCTGGCTTCCCGCCCCCTCTGCCGCCCACAGAGCCCCGGGCCTCAGAGCCCGGCCTGCACAGAGCCATCAGGCTGCCCCCTGGGCTCTGCCCCCGCGCCACCTCCCTCTGGGCCTTCACCCTCCCGCCATCACCACTCCCCCTCTGGACACAGAGCACCGCAGGCTCCCCCTGTTAAATAAAGGAGTGAAGGAGCAGCCCTGGTTAGAACTCTGGTTAGAGTTCTCTGGCCAGCTCAGGGTCCACGCGATCTACCATCTACCGTTCCAGCATCTTCTAGCGTGAGCTCTCGGCACTCTCTGATCCTGGCGACCTCGTGGTGAGGCAAGTACCTTGGAACCTCAGTCCCTTCACCCCCGAGGGGCCGGTGCATCATCTTCTGGCCACTGTCCCTTCAGGGCTGGGAATACACTCTCTAGCCCTGGAGCTTAGCTAGAGCCTCGTCGTGTCGTGACGTTGTTTGCATCTACGGTTCCCTCTGCCATGGTGATCCGTGGTGGCCCCTTGAGGAAGGCAGAGCCCCGCTCTGGGCCCTGGGCTTGTCTGTACCGGTGTGCAGCGGCTCTGGAGAGGCCGGAGGGATGTCTTCCTTTAGGATGAGGTTTTGTGTCTCGTCTTCCTTTTGTCATAGTTCCATCATGTGGGGACACAGGAGGGGCTGGCTCCCTCAGGGGACCTCCGCCAAAGCCGGGTGTGCTGGGACAGGGGATGAAGATGGACCCGGCTACCTTGGGGAGAGTGCTGGGCCGCCTCCTTTGGGCCTACTGGTGTGGGGGGGGTACGGTGGAGGGCAGGTGCCTGATTCCTGGTCCTGGCTGGGCAGGCTTGCTGTCTCCTTGGCCAGAAGCCTGCCTCCTCTCTGGGTACAGTTTCTGATGATGCAGGGGTGGGCTGGGGTTGCCATGGCCCCCATGGCTCTAGGGTGCATCAGGGCGAGACCCACCTCTGCCATCCAAGCAAGTCCTTGCTGAGTCCATGCTGCTCAAGAGGGAGCCCAGGTGCTCTGACATGTGGCCTCCCTGACAGGTGTCACTCCCCGGGGGCCCCTGCTCTGCCCTCAGCTCCCAGGCTCTGAGGGAGGCTGTCAGGGGAAAGCACCAGGACAGGACAGGGCTGCTCCTCCTCAGAGGGTGGGAAGTTGAGGGGACGGAGTCAGGGTTGGGATGTCTTGCCCTTGGGCTCTGTTGGGCTGCCTAGGACAGGAAACACCCAGAAATCTCATCCAAATATCAAACCACCAGACCCTCTCACCTCTTCTTCCCTTCAGATCCTTGGTTGCAGGAGGAGGCTGTGGGGACAGAACGGGGGGTGTGGGGGTGGTAGCCTCAGGGACATCCTGAGGGTGGTGAGACGGACATTGGAAGGCTGGCTGAGGCGCTGGAGGAGGAGAAAGAAGCTGAAGGCAGGACAGTGGCGCGTCCTCCATTCCCCTCCCACACCCAGCTGGGGCCGGGCGGAGGACGAGCCCTGGCCTGTCGGTGGTGGACAAAGGCAGCCACACCATCGGCCCTCTGGTCCCCGAGAGGCCCTCCTACAAGGTACCGTATTGGATTTTTCTTTGAAGAGAATTCATTGCAACCAGATCCAATGGGCTCGTTAGTCCTGACGCCCAAGGAAATAGCACGGTGGACCCAAGGCCGGGGTCACCATGGTTTTCACCCTAGTTTCACCCACAGTTTGACCTGTGGTTCCCTAGTTAGGAGGGGAAGGAGTGCAGGCTGTGGTCAGGCCAGCTGGGGAGAAGGCACGACCTAGCGGCCTTCCATCTTGGTCCCTGGGTCCCCAGGATGGTGCAATCGGTGGGTGCTCAGGATGATGCAGGGCGGGTGACTAGGCCAGGCCAGGGCCCCCAGGCACCTTGGTTGGGAAGGCCAGTTTGAGGGCCCTCCTCTTCTCTGCAGGCCTAGGTCCCCTCTGCCCCTCTGCTCCCTCAGGGCTGCCAGTGGAGGTGCGAAGGCTGGCACTGGAGGTGCGAAGGTACCAGCTTGAACCACGGGGTGTGGACAGGGCTACTCAGAGCCCTGGCCCAGGACCTGTGGGAGGGAGAGTCACAGGACCCATGGCCCCCCTCCTGAGGCTAGCAGGCAGACAAGAGATGGTGCGGTGGGGGCAGACACAGTCACTTGAGGAGGGCGATGGGTGAGCTTGCTGTCTTGCATACTAATTATGTTCCTAATCAGCCAGAATGAGGCACCGGCCTCAATCTGACATGTGGCCAGCTCTGTGAATCATCCTGGAACTGACAGAGAGGTTCCGGAGGGTGGTGACCCCAGCTCAGCTGTGAGCGGTTGGAGCCTGAGCCGGGTCCCTCGTCCTGGGTCCTGGGGCACCCTGCTGCCCTGGCCTCCCAGTGGTGCCCCACACACCAAACAGTAATTCACACTTGATTTTATTCCATGACACTGATTTGCTGAAAATCCCCCGGTTTCCTGGGCAGGGGAAGGCAGTGGGCGGCCTGGCTGAAGTGGGGCTGGCCTCCCAGGAGGACCGGGTCCTGTCCCGTTCCGGTCAAGCACTGGCCAGGCCTCAGCCTTCCATCCAGCCCCACTCTCTCCTCTCCAGTCTATTTAAAAACTGAGCTGCAAAAATAAGATAGAATGAAGAAATAAAAACAAAACCCTGAGTTGTTAAAAACCAAATTAAAAATCCCCTTTGGTGTCAAAAGGTCCTATCCCTAAAAGCCAGTGGGTGGGGTGGGTGTGGGGGTGGGTGTGGCTGGCTGGGGGGCCTCAGTCCAGCTGGCCACCGTCAGCACGTTCCTCGTGGTGCTGTAGGCCCAGGAGGCCCTCGGTGCCCGGCCGCTTCAGGATGGCGCTGTACTTGAGGGCCGTGGTCTCCGCCTGCAGTACCACCTCCACCAGGCTGAAGATGGTGACAACCTGCAGCAGAGCAGAGCCCGGCATGGTGACACGAGTGGGCTGTGAGGGGCCAGTCCTGCCCAGCCCTGCCACCCACCCTAGCTGGGCCCTGGGACCACTTGCCCTGTTTGCCTGTCGTCAGCTGCACCTGCTAGGGAGCTGAGGCCCTAGGGGTCCGGTGAGAAGTAAAATGGGCCAGTCACCGCAGTGTGCGCTGTCTGGTGCTGTGAGTGCCCGGGGTCAGGGAGCAGGGACCTGGGGTGTGGGGCTGGCCTTCAGAGCATGCCATACGTGAACACCATGAGATACAAGATCTTGGGTAGGAGGATCCACAGTTTTCCTTAGATTCTTAAAAGGACCCCAAAAGTTAAAACCCTGCTTTAGAGGGATAGGCAGTGCCCCCCCGCCGTTCCTCCCACAGTGGGTGTCCCCAGGGCAGGGAAGGCAGTACAGGAAAGCTCTGGCCCAAAGGAGGTGATGGGGCTGAGCTGTGCTGGTCTCCCCATTGGAATCTGAAATCCCACAGGGGAACCTAAATGCTGGGGCATACACTGGGTGGGGGGCAGGAGGGACAGCAGGGGAGGCGTGGCAACTGTGCCCCAGGAGGCAGGAGGAGGGCTCACAAAGAACTGGGGTGGACAGGCACACAGTGGTACTCTGGAAAAGCTGCCCCACCCCTGGCTTCTGACCTGCCGCACTGGCTCCTGCTCCATGTCCTCTGGCTCCCAGACAAGTGTGAGCTCCGGCTTCTTACCCACCCTCTGGAAGTGGTGGGACCGCAGGGGTAGTGCCTGGGGGGACACACATCTGTATCTCAGGTTGTAAGCTCTGGGCGCCACCTCCTAACCTTTGACCCTGCAGCCCACCCCCCAACCCCCTGCTTGGAGGCCGCGTCCCCCACCACCGCCTGTGCCCCACACCCAGCAGCTGGCTGCTGACCTCTAATTAGGGACCATCCCACCCTTGCCTCTTGTCTCTGGCCGGCTGCAGGGAGGCCTTGCCAGGCCGTCCTCCGTTGAGGCAGCACCCGAGGGTGACCAAGTGCTAAGGGGCAGGGGCTCATCAGGGACAAGGTGGACCAGGCAGCTAAGGGTAGAGGGGGGCTGACCCCTGTGGGCATGGGGTTTGCTAGGACAGGCTGAGGGCTGGGTTGTCTGCAGACCTAGACCTGAACTTCTGACCTGCTCAGAACTTCAGGACTGGAGCCCTGACGGATTCCAGCTGGACCCCAGTCTGTCTCTCCTGCTTTACCCCACTGCCTTAATGCCATGCTCGGTCCACTCTGGGTGGGGGCTCTGCATTCCCCCAAGTGTTCTGGATGTCAGGGAATCCAAAGCCAGGGTCAGGGGCCAGGTGCTGACCTGCTAACCACAAGGTCATCTGAAATAGGTCCTTCAGATGGCGTTAGCATAGGCACCAAGTACCCTTGGAAAGAACCCCAAATAAATAGCCACACAGGGCAAGACCCGAGGCAAGGGCTGGTCTTTTCCTTCTCTTCAGGGGACACAATTTCTAGAGTGGCCAAGGACCACCTGATCTTTCCTTCCTGCACATTCCTATAAAATCATCCCCCAAAACTTGCATACTCTGCCGTCCGGCACTGGGTAGGGAGGGGCCCGTTCCCTCAAGCCTGACCCTTGGCCTGGATCCCTCACCTCAGGCATGTGTGGCCAGTTGTCCCAGCATGGCCCATCAGGTGGGCTTGGTGCTGGGTGGTGGCAGGAAGCGAGGTCTGGGACCGCATACCCTCTGCCACCACATGGCCGGTGTCACCCCCAAGGCTTGTATTCTCCAGTGCCGGCGAGGACAGCAAGGACCCTGGCCCGTGCTGCCATCTTCCATGCCTGTGTGTCTGCCTAAGGGCTGTCCCCGGGCCAGGCTCCCCCACATGCCAGGCAAATATGGAGGAGACCTCAGCAGAGGGATGGGGGACACGCAGGTGAAAACAGAGTGTGCAGTGGACACAGCTCGATGTCTGTGAGGGGAGGGGGGCCTTTGCCCCGAAGCCACAAGGTCCCCGGTAATCGCATCACAGTAGATGCACTTCAGCACCCAGAGTTGGCCTTTGACCGCCCGCAGGTCCCTGACCCTGGCCCAGGGGGCCTGTGGGTACTCACGTTACAGTAGATACGCTTCTGTACCCCATAGCGCAGCACCAGCACATCGAAGGCTTGGTTCAGGACGCCGAGCACCATGGCTTCTGACTCCAGGGGGCCACTTTCCTGCAAGGCAGGGCTCCAGCCAAGGCTTGGCCACGGGGCGTGGGGATGTGGCATCACCCCCAGGGTCCAGCCTAGCTGCCGAAGGCCCCTGAGCTCCTTAAGAGCTCCTTGTGAGCAGGTGCCCAGGAGGGGACGTGGGGTGGAGGAGGGGGAGGGGGCACCGGGCTGGTGGCCTCACCTTTTTTTTTTTTTTTTAATTTTTATTTATTTATGATAGTCACAGAGAGAGAGAGAGAGAGAGAGAGAGAGAGAGAGAGAGAGAGGCAGAGACATAGGCAGAGGGAGAAGCAGGCTCCATGCACCGGGAGCCCGACGTGGGATTCGATCCTGGGTCTCCAGGATCGCGCCCTAGGCCAAAGGCAGGCGCCAAACTGCTGCGCCACCCAGGGATCCCTGGTGGCCTCACCTTAACCAGGATGGCAAAGAAGAGGCCGGTGCTGAGCTCCTGGACGCGCTTGGACGCCATGCGGCGGTCATTGCAGTGGTCAGCCTGCTTTTGCAGGGTGTCGGGCTCCATGTCTGGCAGCTCCCTGTAGCCTGGGAAGAGGGTGCTGGTGGGGCTGCTGGCAGGGTGCTGTCTGTATGCCGGCCATGGCTGGGTGACAGGCAGCACAGTGCTCCCTGCCAGGCAAGGTGGGGCCTGGGTGGCCCATGCGGAGCCAGAGCCTGCTGGGGCCTGGCTCCAAGGGCTGGGAAGGTGGGCAGCCACTGTTAGGGCAGCCTTGAGCCCCGGCTTTTGTACAGGACTTTCAGTGAGCTGTCCTGGGGCTGATGCCTAGCAGACTCACAGGGGGAGTGTTCCTGGGCCCCAGCTCCCCTGCTGCTCCCTGGCCACCTCTTGGGGCCTCTACAGCCATGCAGTGTGGCCTCTGGCTGCTAGGTACCCGCTCTGGGGCTGGGCGGCCCTTAGGTGGGCACAGGTCAGTGTTACCCTCCTGTGCGCTGCCTCTTACCGAGTGCGGCGGCCAGGAGGCGGTGCACCAGGACGTCAGCGAAACGGCGGATGGGAGAGGTGAAGTGGGTGTAGAGCGGCACGTTGAGGGCGTAGTGCCGGAACTGTTCCTGGTCCTGCAGCACCCCCGAGCAGAAGTACAGTGCCATCTGGGGGGACAGAGGACGGAGTCTTACAACCTGGCCAGGCCGGGTCAGGGCTGGGTTTGTGCTGCCAGGCTGTCATACTCAGGGCCTCGTGATGGGCTGTTCTGGAGTGGACTGACCTGCCAGGCTGCAGGACGCCAGGGGCCATTCTCTCTAAGGGGACCCACGGGGCTGCCATGGGGCTGTGCAGAGCCACGGGGTGTCCATGCCCCTCTCCTGCTGAGGACAGAAGTGGGCCTTGCCCTGGGTTGTGCAGACCCCTCGTGGTGATGGCATGGAGAACAGGCCGGAGAGCACTACAAGGGGCCCACCTCGCCTCTGGGGGGACCAGGGGGTGCTGGGAACCTCAACATGCTAGACGGCCTCTTCCCTCAGAGCCCTGTGGGATGGGCCACCCCAGCCCTCGCAGCCAGCCCAGCCAGCCGGCCAGGTGCCAAAGTCTGATGGCAGCTGGGGAGGACGAGCTGCTGCTGCACCACCAGCAATAAGAAGGGAGCGGTTTGGTCTGCTCCACGGGGTGGGGATGGGGCAGCTGCTCCAGAACAGGGAGGAGAGGAGGCCAGGGCTGGGCCGGGCAAGGGGGTGCAGACCAGCTGTGGAGGTACAAGCGGAAGCTGGGGTGGCTCTGCCTGGACACGTGGCCTGCCACCACCACCCGGCCAGAATGGCAAGTAGGACGGGAGGCCTGGGATGCCTATTACCCGCCTATAGTGAAACAGGCAGTGGGCACCGGGCTCTTCCTCTGGGGCCCAGGCCGAATCTTTGGTTGTGACCGACCCCACGCCCTCCGGCCCTGATCCCTGTCCTGCGGAAGCCGTGCTGGCACCCCAGCACCTCTAGGCCCCCCATAGGCAACCCCGTGCCAGCCAAAGGAGGGGGAGGTTTGCCAGCCGCCAGCCTCAGCCCTCCTTGTCCGACAAGCTGTCCTGGCACCAAAACTCAGAGGTCCGAGTTTAAGAGGCCCTCCTGCAGCGGAGGAGTGATGACCTGGGTCACTAAGAGAGGCCAAGTTTCTCGAGGGGCCCAACAAATGGCTCCGGGCCACCATGGTTCGGGCTGTCTGGGGGGGCTCAGCCACAGTCCCTGCAGCTGCTTGTCCTGTGGTCCCCAAGCTCTCGGGGCCGGGAATCAAGAATGCTGCAAGGAGCAAGTGAACAGGTTCCTGATTGAGGGCCAAGGTCACACCCTTGTGCGTTCACTCGCTTGCTCCCTTGCTCTCTGCTCACACCCACCCGCCCGGGGGCTCAGCCAAATGGACAGCCAGCTCCAGTTACTGTGGAATCCAGGGCACAGCTGGCAATGAGCCGCTCAGCTCCCCGAGTCCACCTCCCTTCCAGTTCCTGCTGGGGCCTGGGTTACATCGGGGGCAAGTCATGGGGTGGGAGGTGGGAGCAGCCGCCACTCCAAGCCATGTCTGGGCATCATTCTCAGCGGCGGGGCCACTTCCCCAGATGGGCTGGGCTGAGGAACCCAGAGGCCCTGGTCCCAACCTGCCTGGGAAGGTATCTCTGGGCAGGGTGGGCAGGGTGGGGGAGGGGGGCTTTCCTATTTCAGCAGCTTACTCAGACTCTGGTGTTTACTGCTGCTGCTGCTGCTGCCTTGTTCCCTGTCCCTGTCCCGGTTCTCAGGAGGCACCGCCGGCACTCTGGAACCCCTTGCCATCAGTTTCCCACACAAAGGCCAGCCTTGAAGGTCACTCACTGGCAGGAAAGGCCAGAAGTCCACTCCTTCAGGCTCTGGTTGACACAGAAGAGGAAGGATCCTTTCCACAGAGCTCCAGGGCTAGTTTGACCTTGGAGGTGGATGCCTTCCAGAGGCTGGGGGCAGTGAACGGGGGTCCAAGTGGCTCTGCATGGCAGTCAACAGGCAGTTCTGGAACCAGAGGCTACTGCATCTCCGAGGAGCTAGGGGACAGAGTGACCTCGAGTCTCTTGGCCACAGGCACACCTTCCTCTGGTGTGCTTTAAAGGTGTGTGTGGGGGCAGGCACTTGTGACTGGGGACAGGGTAAAGGCGGCCAGACCCAAAAGGGCCCTGATGACTCCATTCTGGGCAGAATATATGACTGTTGGGAAATAAATCAGCTGTGGCCAGTGGAGGTGACCTGGTTCTCGTGAACAGATTGAATCTGCAGAGTGACTGAGCCCCTGAAAAATGGCTTGTCACTGTCCCCTGGCCAGAACGGGGCCCAGAGCTGCCCCATTAGCGTCTGCAGCTCCTGCTGACCCGACAGTTGGGTGGGGTGGCTCCTTCCCAAGATGCTTAAGCCTGCAGGGGCCAAAGCTCAGGCTCAGAGGGCTGAGACATGCTGCTAGGAGCAGGTTCACTGTCTACCTCCCAGGCTGCCAGCCCATCACACTGCATGCAGACACAGGCCCACGGCCCGACTCCTCTTCTCCCAGCTGCCAGAGGGAGACTTCTCTGCCTGGGGTCCACAGGGCACAGTGGGGGCTGTGCCTTCTCCTCTGGGTAGGCTGCTGTGGGAGACAATCTCTCCCCTCCGGGATGTCCATCCAACTGAGTGCTGACTAGCCCCCATTCCTTCGCCAAGCGGGTCTGGTCTGTGGGGCCTGCGCACCGAAGGCTTGGTGTTTGCCCCTTCCCTGCCTTCAGCAAGGAGACGGAGCCCCAGAGGCCGGGCGGTGAGGGGGCAGCAGGGCTCAAATAGGGCCCTTTAACGGCCCATGGAAGCCATCCTTGGGCAGGTGAGGCAGGCAAGTCTCAGGAGCCCAGGGCTCACCTGTCGGAGGTAACATGTGGGGCTGTCCTCCCCACTCCTCCCCTTAGGTCCTCTGTGTGTGGTGATCACGGACTCCCCTGGGAGAAGGGGGAGGTTGGGGGACTTGGCCCCTCCTTACCTGCATGGGCCGAGAGCACATGTTGGTGAGCACCTCCTTCCGGGCCAGTGAGTACTTGTCATCTCCAAATGTTTCGGTCAGACTTTTCTAGAAGCAAGCCCGTGTGATATGAAGTCAAGCTTGGGGACCTCTGGGGCCCCTGTCACCCTCTGACTATCTGAGACCTGGGGAAGAAGGGGCTCAACCCTGCTCAGATGACCATGGTGGAGCGCAGGGGCCAGCAGCTCCAGTCTGTGTTCCACACTGGGCCGTTGCTCTGAGGTCAGTCCTTCCATGTCTCGTTGGCTGGATAGAGACACTGGTTTCCAGTTGTCTGACCTAAGGCATCTCTCTGCCCACCCCAGGCTTAAAAGCACAGATGGGAACAGCCTCCCTTCCATGGGATCAAAGCTAAGACCTGAGCCCCATAAGGCTTAGTTCCAGGCAGGGAGCACTTGACACCACTTACCATATAAAACATTCTCTGGCTTCCAGTCATCTCAGCCCCCTACTGAAAGTTTCTGGGCCCAAGCCCAGCCCATCCCTGGCCACGGGATCCCTGCCCACAGATGAGCATTGAGTGGCTTCCCTTGGCTTGGTCCTGGTGGGGAGAATGGCCCATGGCCTGGGCCTCTGTGACTTAGAGGCCTCCCCTCAGGGCCTCCCCCTCCCCTGCACTCCCCGCACTCACATTGAGGGCCCCAGCAGAGCTGAAGTCCATGGGCAGCCCCATCTGGTCACAGAATTCCATGAGGTCGTTGAGCATCTTGGTCTGGGGTGGGGGGTGCCGGCGCAGCAGGGCACGCTCAGGGAAGGTGCGGTGCGTCTTGTGGGCCACTGCCATGTTGGCCAGGAGCATGAACTCCTCCACGAGCCTGCAGCGGGGACAATCAGCAGGGGCCAGGGGCCACCGGCCCTTTCCCAGGCTAGCTGCAGGCTGGCCCTCTTGGGCTCTTCGGTCTCAGCCTGGAGACGCCCTCCTGCCACCCAGTCTCATCCCCACTCCCTCGTGCCCCCCTTGGAGCTAACCAGTCAGCACCACTCTTCTCTTCTGATGTGTGAGCTTGTGCACCACCTCCCCCATGAGACTAGGGGGATGGCATCTGTCTTATCCCCACCATGGCCCCTGTGCTTGGCACCCCAGCACCCTGCCTGACAAAGAGAAGGTGCTCAACAAAGCTGTCTGCTGAATGACTAGCCTCCGGGATGCTTGGGGGTGTCCTCCGCTGTAAGGAAACAAGAGGCCCAGGCTGCCATGAGAACTCCGAGCGCTCCTGGGGGTGTGTAGAAGGCCGTAGAAGGCGCTCAGCAGACCCAGGACTCCCTGCTTCCCGGGAGGAGAGAAGGGTTTCTAAGGATGACCAGGAGAGTCACGGACAGCAAGAGGATGTACATATCCTGGGGGGCAAGGCCAACGTGCCGTGGAGGTGTTCAAATCCCAGAGAGTTAACCTCTTAGGATTTAACACTTGACTCTTGCTGCACTTGAGTGTAATTCGAATCAACAGGTATGAGCAGATATGGCTCCAGGTGAAGAGATGAAGGCACAAAGGACCCAGGGAGAGGAGCGGGGGCTGAGGGCAGATGAAGATGAGAGCCAGGATCGAGGAGTCAGGCCGAGTGGGAAGCTGGGTCACACAGGCCTGAGGCTGGCGCCCCCACCCCTCAAATGTGGGGCAGGAGGCCACGTGCTGCTTCCCTCACCCAGGGCTCTGGTGGCAGGATGAGTCACACACATGCACAAGAGCTGAAGCCCCTGGAAAGGGGGCTTGGGCACACTGCCGCCGTCGTGGCCTGGGTACCCTGTGTGGGGGCTGCCTTCTCCCCTGCTTTCATCCTGGATCCCAAGCTGCATGACAAGCCTGTGCTTCTCCCATGGACGCAGAGTAGGTCAGGGCCTAAGCTCTGGTAGCCCTGCTGGTCAGCAGCCGGAGGCCTGAGATGAACTTCCTCTTCCTGGAAGTGTGGGTAATGCTTCAGGGTTAGCCTCGTCACCTCGCCAAGCTCTTGGAAGGGAAAGCAGCCCGGGATGAGGACAGAGAATGAGCATGAGCTTACAGCCCCTCTGCCCCCCAGACTGGGCCTGCCACGGAAGAATTGTGACTGTGGTCCTGAGAACACATCTGTCTCCCAGAAGCCCTCCCTACCAGGAAGAAGGGCTGTGGAAATGGCCCTCTGGTTGTGGCATGATCAGAGGGACCGGGGCCAGGTCTGGGCCTTGGGACAGGGCTTGCTCGAGCCTTACTCATAGCCCCTCCTCTGTGAGGATGACTCTGGACTGGCCTACTGGATATACTGGGCCAGGGGTATAGTTTGGGCGTCAGGCTGCAAGGTCAGGTGTCAGCTGGCCCTTGCACCATGCAGGAAACCCTAGGTGTGGAATGAAGAGTTTCTTTATCCCCTCCTGCACACTCATAGTCAGTTAAGTGACCATTCTGCTTCCCCGTGCCCCCAGCCTGTCCTCGTGCATGACACTTCCTGCTGAAAGACCTTTGGGCTCAGGCACCTGAACCCGACCACCATTTCCTAAGTGGAGGTCTGAATCCTGGCTCCATGTTCCTGCTGTAGGAACCAGGACGACTCCGGGACCTTTCTTGATCCTCCTTTTTCTCAAACGTAGAACAGGGTAGTAGCACCTGCTCCAGAAAGGGGTTGTGACAACCAGTGGGAATATCACACGCTGTCAGGGCAGACCCTGTGCCTGGCACATTGTTGGCATCAGGACACAGGATGTACTTTCCCCCTCTCCCCACTGTCCATGCCAAATGGCCAGCCCGGGGTCCCTCCAAGGCGCCCTGTGAGTTTCACCTTTTATCTCCTCTTACTTGCCTTTCCCTTGCCTTCCCCGAAGGCCCAGGCTGAAGGCTGCCCTATGACTCCCTTGGGTACTTACTGCCAACCAGCCACCTGGCAACAAGAACCAGGCTGTTGGGCAGCCCAGGTGGCGCAGTGGTTTAGCGCCACCTGCAGCCCAGGGTGTGATCCTGGAGACCCTGGATCGAGTCCCACGTCAGGCTCCCTGCATGGAGCCTGCTTCTCCCTCTGCCTGTGTCTCTGCCTCTCTCTCTCTGTCTCTATGAATAAATAAATTCTTAAAAAAAAAAAAAAAGAACCAGGCTGTTGTACGGTCACCTGTGTCACAGCCTAGCACTGTTGGACTCTTCATACTTGGTTTCCCGACTTAGATTTTACCAACCCAAGAGGAGTCTCCGTTCCTGCTCAGTAAGCGTCTGATTTGATTTACTGTCTGTTCTGGGTCAGATACTAGAGGCTGTCATCCCCTAAATGCTTCAGACGCGTACCTCTGTCCCTCTGTTCACTCAGCGAACATTACTGTGTGTCAGGTGCCTCTAGACCTGTCTCCCCACGCAGCCTGAGAATGCTTGTGGGCAGGGCGCTCGAGGTCTGCTCCTTGGAGCCCCGCACTCTCCAGCGCACACTCGGGTGGGGAGGGAACCCCTGGATAACCTTGGGGCTGACCCTGGGCTGTGTTTTGCCGGTATGGCCAGCAGGGGGCAGCATTATCCCACAGCAGCGCTGTGGTCAGGCTGCAGGTTGAGGAGTGCTGGGCAGGGTACAGGGGTGGTGGGCGGTGGGGTTCTAGCCTGTCGCCCCAACCCGATTCCCACCCCCGGGGTCACAGGAACTGAATGCGTGGGGAGCTTCCCCAGGTGGCGTGCTTCTGCTCCCAGTCCCTGCAGGGGCTCTCCTGCCTCATCTCTCAGGTTCTCATGTAAGGTCGAGAATAGGAAGGAAGGGATAGGGAAGGTGGGGCCGATGCCCAGAGCCCCAGGCGGTGACAACAGACCCAATCAAGCCGCTTCCGCATTACTTGTCCTCCCTGGACCCCCAGTATATATAGTCCCATGAGCTGCCTGTAGCTGGTGGCAGAAAAACGAGTGTACTCCTGTTAACCTTGAGAAGAGTGTGGCAAAGCTTGAGATGCAGAGGCTGACCTTGGACAGGTCCCTTGGTGCCTCCTGGGGGCTCGGCGGCTCAGTCCCTCCCTCACGACAGGGGGCAGGAGCTGAGAGGGCAGCCCGTGCAACTCTCTTCCTGACACTTTGCTGATATCAAGCATTCACCCCAGAAAAACATCAATGTCACCAAACTGGGAGGTGGCGTAGCAGTAAGCCCAACTCCCCGGGTGCTGCCACGGCTCATTAGTGTTCCAGGATAGCTGCAGGACCGTTTCCCCACAACCTGTCCTTAAAATCCTTCTTATACCAGCAGGTGGGAGAGGGAGGGGCAGAGAGAGCACGCAAACTGTGAGCCACGGCAGTCGGGTCCTGGGGGGCTGTGGGGGGCGCGGCGCAGCTGCGGAGGAGGGTCCCCTGGGGAAGCGAGGGAACAGGAAGGCCAGATTCCACGGAGTTCAGGATTCAAAGACAGGGCCAGGCACCACGGAGGGAGAAGCGGGCTGGCCGGGACTGGGTGGGGCAGGGGGGTGTCCTCGCTCTCATCGGAGGCCAGCCAAGGCCCCCTTTACCCGACTCAACAGGTCACCCCGTGGGTCAGTTCCATGAACTGGCCGGTAGGGGGCCCCCAGCATCTTTCTTCCACAGGACCTGGGACGTGGCAGGAGCAGCCTAGAACCTAGGAACTTGTGGGCAGGAAGGAGCCCTAGTTTATAAACTGCAGTCCTGTGGTCCAAGGTCCAGGGGTCTCTGGGCTCCCATTCAGGGGTTTTCTCCTTAGCCAGAGGGGCTGAAGGCTTGCCCTCCTTGGGACACAGGGCAATTCAAAGAGGAGCCTCAACAGCTGGCTCGTCAGCAAGCACCCCTTCACCCGGATCTCCCTCCCCTGCTGGGGGCCAGTGCTGCATGCACAGGTCCAGCAGCCAGACCTCAGATGACACCCGAAGCTGTTTTGGGTGCTTAGGATGAGCCCCTGAGAACAAACGCCACACACCAGAGTCGGGGAGGTGGGGATGGAGGCCTGCATGTTGCCCTGGCCTCAGACCCTGCTCCCAGATCTGGGTACCTGTCCTGGTCGTAACCCACCTCCTCCTCCTGCTACAGCACAGCACGGGCATGAGATCACTCAGCCCCACTCGGAGGGTGGTGGGGAGGGGGCTGGCAGTGAGCAACCGTCTGACAACTGCTCTAATGGATGCTCAGGCATGGCCACCAGCCAGGATCACCTTCCAGAACAGCAAGCCAAGCCTTTGTCCCGGTGCTGGCTTCTGCTGAGCATTTGCGGCCCAGTGCCACTGGGGGCCCGCAACTCTGGAGGTCTTGGGGTGGGGTGGGGGTGTCTGTGGCATACAGGTGCACAGCCAGCCGGGGGCCATGCCAGGATGCATGCTCGTCAGCACTCATTCTCCACATCCCACCTACCTAGGCTCTGGGTTTGCAGGTGCTAGGACATGGGCGTGGGGGGCAGGTGAGAGGCCTCTCATCCCGGGGAGGAGCTGAGCAAGCCTAGAACTGTTGGAGTCCCTCACCAGCTAGGGCAGATGGTGGGAAAAGGCCAAGAGCAACCTCCTCAAAAGTACACACATTGTCACACGGCAAAGACGACTTTGGTCCAGAATGCTGTTTCCCAAAGTGTGTTAGTTACTTAAAGAAAAAAGTATATTCAGATATATGAAATGCTAGGGGATGAATTTATCTGTTGTTTTTATTACAGGACATTCTTTTGCCTTTAAGAGGCTAATATGCGTCAAGACAAGAAGTTCCCGGATGTAGCATTTGCTGCTCATTGACGATTGAACTTGTGTCGCAGCTGAAGGATGATGTCTGGGAAAAGACACTCTACCTGGCAGGGTCAGACAGTGGCTAAACGAGAAATGGGCTAAAACATCTGCCCTTTCAGAGGAAGGCTGCCCATTCTCGACCATCAAAGGAACTGGCCTGAGTTCTCTGCTTGTCTGG